AATATCAAACAGGAATTTTACACATTTTACTAAAAAGGTTTGAGATCCATAAATGAAATTTAAGTGAGAGAAACTTTCCCTTTGGTCAAAAAGTCACCCCAAAAATGATTGGACTGCTACCTTAAAAGTAGTTGGGATTGCTAAGAAAGACTCAGAATGTAAAGCCCTTCTGACAACGAAAATGATTTTTACCTGTTCCATTGGGGTAACAGCGCACACATCTAGTTTGATATTTCAGCGAAGATTCCCTTCGTTGTTCAGGTTGAGACATATTCCGTAGATCATAAACATTGACATGCCTTCCAGCAGTTGCTACAACTAAGCGATTGCCAACAAGTGATAGAGAATAGACACGCTCAGGCTGTGTGTACGTCCCAACAAGTGAGCGATCCGGCCCATTTGCACCTCTAGGATCCCAACACTTCAAAGTTTTGTCCCAGCTACCAGTAATCACTTGCCCTGAAATCATAACAGATGGATGATATGTAACTGACTATCAATTATCCCATAGTTAAACAGACATCCTGATGTCTAATATTCCATACATAAATGCTTATTGATTGATACAAACTAAGAAGCACAGACGGACTTGCATTTTTGACAAAAGTAGGAGAGAGACACGTCGGGGACACGTTACAAATAATCGTGCATTATCTATCAAATAATATATTATATCACATATAAGATATAATTGCAAGTGATTCTTATGTGTAATAATCTAGTGTGTACCTTTAAGATTGAAGAGTCGTAGTAGTCCATAATTATCAATTTTGTAATAGACAAAGTGAGCAAATATTTTAAGTATTTCTTCGACATAACCAGTCTTAACAATTATGTATTCTTTCATAAATAGTGATTTATCAAAATTTTAGGTTTTGTTAATTACATGTCAACACATGCTTATTTTTTAATATTACACACGCTCTAAATAAGTGTCGGACACGTGTCCGATATTAAAATTTTATCTACTAAAAGAATATCAGACACCTGTCCACAATTGTCCGAAAAATGTCGGTGTCTAAGACGGATACATGTCAATGTTTCTTAGGATACTTAACTAGAGCTATGATGAATAATTTTGATTAATAAGAACAACATATATAACTGTCACAAATCTGACAAGGGATGATATTTTCTAATAATTTAATGAAGGGGAGCAATCACGTCAACAATCTAACTAGTACAACAAAGCATCCATCCTTCCTTTTACACTTGAAATTGGGCAAATTTTTTTTTCCACCAAATAGAGGAAACCTACTTAGGTCCTGTTACTAAAGTATGCAGAGAGGGGTGCATTGGATACATACCTAATTTTTGGCACTATTTGCACAAAATGGCTGCTACTGGGGTTTGAACCCAAAACTCCACAGTGGTTTGCTCAACACTCACCAAACCCCAAAATGAAAATAATACCTATGAACCCCAATTCGCAACTAGGCCCACCACAAAGCTTTTTCTTAGCGTGGAATGCCTTTTTGTTTTACACCCCATGAATTAGGCCCTACTACAATTTACCTAACTATCTGCATTTTACATTTATCCATTCATACGGTTGCACATGAAATATGTGTCAATGCGAAAACAAAAACAGTTCTTCACTAACTGCTGTAAGAAATAATTTCATCCAAGTTTTTTCATGCATAGCATGCACCATAACAAATTGGTAGAAATATGTGTATGATAATTTAAGAGCAACTAATGCTCCAAAAAATCCTAAAATTGGTGGTAGAATGTAGAAATGCCCCAGATTCACAAGAAATAGATGTATTCGTACATCATCTTACACCAGCACAAATCACAAAAAGTTAATTAGCAAAGCATGAAACTTATAATTATCAAAACCAACCTGTGGCATACGAGTATTCAATACAGCGTACAGGTGCATCATGCCTTCCTAAAATATCCTCCCTACCATAGTTGAAGACAAGCCTGCAATATTAACAGCACCATTTGTTACTTAGTGCAACGAATATCCATACACAAAGAGATCTGGGGCACAACTAGATCATACCTCCTCACAGTATTATCAGCACTCGCACTGAACCCCGAAGAATCATCATGGAAGCAACAGTCCAACACAGGACCACCGTGCATGAACTCTCCCCTCAACAGATTGGCACTCGCATCATACAATCGCACACTCTGAACAATCAAAAATATCAAATCGAGTTCAAATTAATGTCTTAAAACCATTCAATCGTTCGTAAAAACGACATATCAAACTGACCTGAGAATTTTAGATACGAAAGCTGAAAAGTACCTTGTCCCACGACGATACGAGAAGATGATCACTGTGGTTGGAGAATCGTAGATTCGATATTCCATCGGACGGCGGGCTCTCGAGCTCCTGCCCAGCGACCTGTGGTACCGCCGTCATGATATTTCCTGTCTCCTATCCTGATCTAGGGGTTTTGGATAAAGAGAGAGATTGTAAAGACTAGGGTTTTACACAGTGGAAGTGTTTACCCGAGAGAGAGAGGGAAGGGTTTTTGAAAATGCAAAGCATAGAGGATTGGTATCAAGTTTGGGAATTTAAATTCAAACGATAGACAAATGGAGATCGGGCTCAGATTCAGATTCCCTCGGTCTCTCAAATGTCTACTGTCCTATGTAGTACTAGTACTGCACTTTTTTTGTTCTTTTGGCCACGTTAATGTAAATTTAGCAGCCTCCAATGTAATTATCTGGTTCTTCCATTGTAGGTTGGGAAGTAAATATTTCAATTTTTTTGTACTTACTTGATACATATAGACTATGGATAATTGCACGTATTTAAAGTTTATTATAGTAGGCATAGGTTCAAAATTGTCTTGTCTTGACATTAAAAAAAATAAAAAAAAATATTATTTTCATTTGAATTATATAAATCTCGATAATAAATAATTATTTAGAAAATCATATATACCAATACAAAGCACTCCTAAAAAAGATGAAAATAGTTAAATCGGTAAATTAGGTATAACTTTTGCTATGATATTAGTGGTTTTACACTTCTTGTCTCCTCCAAAGGTTTTTTTTAAGTACAGAGTGACTAATGCTCTATTTTGTAGGAACGATGAAAAGTAAAAAAAATATAAAGTAAGAGAGATATATTTTATATCCTTTAAGGATAGAAAATAGAAATGATATAATTTATTTTCTGTGTTTGATTAGATGAATGGAAAAATAAAAATAACTAATTTTTTTTTGTACTGGTTAAGATTAAGGGTGACAATTGAGTCATGTCGTATTAAATTCGTGTTGAGTTATAAAATTATGAACTTTTTATATTTTTTGTTCACGTGTCAAGTTATTTTAAAGTTCATGTCAACTTATAATCAAGTTCGTATCATAAAATTCGTGTTGAGTTCGAACATTGTCGTTGAGTTCGAGTCGTGTCAGCGTGTTAAGTTGAAAATTTTTATTAAGGTGAAAAAAATATTTTTTAATTTAAAATTTATATATTTTTAATTTATTATTTTTTAATTTATATATATAAATACATATTTTATCATTATATTTTTATATGAAATTAATGCATACATAATATATATATAAATAAGATATATCTTAACACAAATAATTAATTTTTAATCCACTTTCCTTCCGATTTTGGAGGGATAGATTGTGGTGAATTGAAAGAAAAGGTAATTTATCAACTTTTCAATCCTTCATATTTTTCTTTCTTACCAAATATGATGTTTTATTTATCCCTCTAACTTTCCATCCTTTCATTTTTTGATCATACCGAATGAAGCATAAGGGTTGCGGCATGGAAGATTAATCTGTTCTACGAAGTTGAGTTTTTCGATTTGTTTTCCCTATGTGGTCGACCAATGAAAGTGTCATGACATACTTCTATTTTTGTTTTTATGTTATTTTATAAAAAATAATGTTAAATAGACTTAAAACTTAGACTTTAAAATTAAATTTGATAATCTCAATCATTAAATAGGTAATAGGTCCTAATAAATGCTAAGACCTACAGTAAAATCAACGATTGAGATTATCAAATCTAGTTTTTAAGTTCATATAACATTGCTCTTTTATAAATATTAAAATGATGAAATAAATTCTATCAACTATTTATTACGACGACCAAAGATTAAATTATCACCAAATATGCCTTTTTCTACTTCTTCTCCCCAAGTGTAGTGTGAATCCTATGAAACATGGGAATAGTTAAAACGGTTAGAAAGAGAAATAAAGTTCAAATCTTCAACTGAAAATTTATAATATACAAAATTCTGACTTCCTTTCACAAGGGTTCTGAAGTCCACCATAACCTTCTTGGCCCAAGACAACGGGCCATCGAGGCCCGCCCCAGTCCTATGATATGTAGACTGAAGAGACTCGGAGCACGGGTGCCCTCGGAGCACTGTTAAAATCAGCTTGAGATGGGTTTCTATTTGACTCGGCTATATATAGCTCGTTCAAATTAAATTGAATAGCAAAATGAGTGGAATTCGAGTCATGTAGAATTCAATATCGGGCTGAGTTTTGAACTTTAATTATTCAATCGGCGATATTTAATTAGGTTTGTTATTCGTGTCGGATGAAACGGATTTGTGTTAAAAAATATTTTAATATGAAAAAATAAAAATTATTATTATTTTTGTGGAAAGAGCCGTGAAAAAAAATAGTAATACTAGACTGATCAAATTTTAAAATCAAGACAGTTGACTTGAATTTCTTTTATTGGTGTTATGTTATTTGGCCCTAATCAAAATATCAAATAATCAACTGTAACATTTATATTTAATATATTCTGAATATCAAACTACACGATTTATTATGAATAAGTTGGCTAGTTTGGTGTGATTTACAACAGCATGCTGCGAATGAATCACTGTTACCTTCTCCCTCTCTCTCATATACACACAATCAGGCTATAGTCAGATAAACCCTAATAAATTACAACCTACCTGCTACTCCAAATTATCAATATTGAAACCTATAATTTGAGTACCTGAAGCTTCAATCTCGAATTTATCAGCTCTACAATCACACCAGTCAATGCGATGGTCGTCTGCAAATGCCGCAAGGTACGCCCCCCCCCCCTCCCCTCCCCCCACCCTCTCTCTATGTGCTTTTGTGTGTCTGAGTATCAGATACACGGATTCACTTTTGGATTCAATTTGCGTTGAAATGTGTTGTGTTTTCGTAATAAGAGGTGTCAGATCAGATCGAACTTGTTATTAGAAATATGAGAGATCTCAGGGTTTTTTCGCTTACTTCCTTCTAACTGATCGGGGAATTGGCATTTGTAGTCAATTACTGTCTTTATTTTCCAAGCTACAAATCCATATTGGTTAAGGTGGATTTGATAAATACGGTTGATCTACGGAAAAAAAAATAAAAAGACGTTTATACACGCATAAATTTGGATTATAGCTGGTTACTTTGCTTGATATGTGTAAATTGTACCCCATATAACTATAACTGTATGTGGATTTACTTTGAATTTATCTATTTACTTGTTTGTTTGGGTTGTCTGATTAAGGCTAATTCAAATGCACCTTAGTTCACGTGATCAATCGGGAGTTGAAATTAACCTTTGCGCCACCTTGCATATATTGCTTGAATTTGAAGACTAACACCTGTTGGGGTTCTTTGTTTCAGGCAACTAAGTTATACTGTTTCGTCCACAAGGTCCCCGTTTGTGGGGAATGCATATGTTTTCCAGAACATGAAATATGTGTGGTATGTTATTGAAATATTGTACTAATTTGATGGTAACATTGTATGTTGTATGCTTGTTGATGAGACATCAAAATTGTTGCAGCCGTTCAGAATTTACATTTTTTACTTGTTCAATCCTTGAGTACTCACGAAAGAGTAATCCAAGGTTGAATATTATCAAGGAATGCAGCGTTTCTGGGAACTTATTAATATTAACACCTTCAAAACAAATATTATGTGTGTCATCATTTGTAACAACATATATAATAGATTGTTATTTTGCTTGTAATTCCATACAAGGCAAACCTTAAGTTATTTATGTATTCAATAACTTCACATGTACTACGAAAAAGGGGAAGAAATTTATGAAATGAGAACAGTTCTTTTCCAATAGTTGGTTAACAATTATGAAGCTCCTCACACCTTTGCCCGGGGATACTGGGAGTATGATTTATATATTTGCCACCTATGCAAGTTCAGGAAAGTGAATCTTGACTCTAAACGTTACTTTGTAATCATTATCTGAAATAGAAATATGGCTATTTTGTGATATATGTGCAACAAGCCATTCTTTGGACAAAGGCATGGAAAACATGAATCTTTTCATTATAAATTGTCTGTCTTCTGGATACTTTTAAGTTTTACCTGTCTTTTGTGTAATTTTACTTTAACAAAAAAGGTCTTTCTGTTCAGCTTGAAGTCAATGGTATTATAGAATTCCACTATACTTAAACTGTCACCTTGTTTTTAGTTAAAACTGACAACATCTTTTAACAGATCCGTACTTACTCAGAATGGGTAATAGATGGAGAGTATGATTGGCCTCCTAAATGCTGCCTGTGTAATGCTGTGCTTGAAGAGGGAACGAATTCTCAAACTACTCGATTGGGTTGCTTGCGTATGTGATCCTGCGGATATAGTCAAATTTTCTCTTTTAAACAAAGCTTCTTAAACTCATCCTCCATAACTTACTTCTCTCTTTGCTTGTTTTAGATGTTATACATACCAATTGCTTGGTTTCACATATTAAAGATTTTCCTCCACACACTGCTCCTGCTGGATATGTGTGCCCTGGGTGTTCAACTTCGGTAAGGTCTACTCACATAAGTTACATAAAGTTCCATATGTTTTAACTGTTTTTTACTTTCTTTTCGCAGCAGCATTTTAGAAGCTTAACTGCTGTACTGCAAATAAAATTTAGTGCTCACATATCAATGTAGGCAAATAGTAGTTTTGTAGAATAATGTCACCTTAATGATGGAAGATTCTGGGATATAGACTTATAGAGCAGGAACGGGAACATGGTGTACCATTTCTAGATTGTGTTACACTAGGATAGGTCACTTGAGAGCAAAGTATACCAGAAGAAAAGAGGGGTTTCTTATGAATAGTAGACGATAAATGAAATCCAAAAGTTCTCTATTTTAAAAAGGACGGTCTAGTACACGAGACTCCCATCACTGTAGGGTCTAAGAAGGGTTAGATTTATGCAGTGTTGTGAAGAAACTATTTTTATGACTCGAACCTTGATGTAGAGTCGAGCCAAGGCATAACTAGGGCTGCCGCCTAGGGCTTCCAAACTGGTAGAAAAATTTAGGGGGCCCTAAAAAATATTTTTTTGGATCCCTTAAAATTTTTAGGTCCCTAATTTTAATTAGAGTAGACAATTTTAAGTACGATATGATAAATCCATTCAAAATTAATACAAAATTAATGAGTTTGACTATAGTCTTAGTACATTTGGGAATAAATGAGTGGACTTATTGAACCCCTCAAATACATGACTCGACACGAACCTGATTAAACGTGACACAAATATCAAAACACAACCTATATATGATACAAATCCAACTATAGAAGATTATAAATGGAGTGGATATATGTTGAGCAAATGCTATCATGACATGATCGATGGACTACCTTTTTATTACTTTTATTTGCAGTCATTATCTCCTCACACAAATTTTGGTGCATTACAATCAAAATCAATTGACGAATACTATCCATTATCTAAGTTTTAAAAAATGTAGTTTTTTCCTAGCTTAAATTCATGGCCTTATTATTTGTGTTAGATGTTTTACTTAGCTGTTTTTTAACACACAAGAAGCACATAAAATGACTAAAATTGTGTAGGTGTAATTTACTATTCGAAATTCTTATTGCGTCCGTTTTATGAAATATATAATTTTGATGCATTAATAAATTTTAATTCTTCTTCTTTATATTATTAACTGATGACAGACCTAATTTTATTTTGGTCTTCAAATTCAAATTCAACTTCAATTAATGTATTGTTTATTCGTAAAACTTGAATGCAAAAATTGAATTAGTACTTTTATATCTCAAAAATAAAAAAATAAATTCTAAATGAATATATATTAATTTTTAATAATTATTTAATTGTATCTATATTATTATACTATAAAATATTGGGGCCTCGTCTAATATCTCCACCTATGGCCCCCATTTGTGTCAGGCCGCACTTGCCTTGATGCCCAGATCTCGATGGAGCAACCTCACCACTACACCAAGACCTACCCTCAAAATTCTCTGGTTACTTTGAAAACTGTCAAAAATTATGATGTTAAAATGTTTTGGATTGCTAAGTACTGCTCTAGACTGCAAGTGTACCTTGATCTGGAATGAGGAATCCAATTCTCTAGCATATTAACTATGTTATAAAACTTGTTTTGGCTGCGTTTGTCGCACGAGCATGGCTGGTTTCCAAACAATAATTTGTTGTTGCAGATATGGCCTCCGAAAAGTGTTAAAGATTCAGGATCCCGTCTTCATTTAAAACTGAAGGAAGCAATTATGCAGGTATTGCTCATGCTTGGTTGTTTCAGTATTTTTTCATGACAACCTTATTGGAACTATTTACATTTTCTTTGTTAAGATAATATTAAATTTCAGTACGTTATCCATATTCAATGATTATGGTATAAGAATTTTACTGTGAACATATGCTTTCTTTCTTGGATCTTTCTTTGGTGTTCTTATTGTAGAATGATACCACGTAAACCCTTTGAAGGGATCTATGGAGGCTGATTCTTAGTTTTATTTCTTCTCGTTCTTTACTATTTAAAATGTAATTGTTGATTGGAGTGAACACGCCTACAAATTCTTTAGCATGTGAGGTCTTACGATGTATAGAATTGGTGTATAATGTTTGTCTGTTGGCTAGAAGTGATATAGGCAGGAAACTATTTGGGCATGTTCGTCACTGAAGTTATCTTATCAAATCGGCACAGGGTTTTCAATTTTGTTTTACCAAACGAGCAAAGTCATTGTGTTGTTTTTTCACTGTGCGATAATCTGTAATTGATCGTCAGAAAAATGTTATCTAGTGTGCTTACTTTCCAGATGTCACTTCATTGCTTAGAAATATATCGTGTGGAGGCATTACAGATTATTTTCTCTTTCTATATTAAGTATTAATGTATAGAATTATCGTTTTGTGTTGGAATGCATGAGCAATAATACATGATCACTCTCTTCGGTGTGTATCTTATAGGGGAAATATGTGATTTTATTTTTGGTCGGGTTGTAACTACTAGAAGGATCCTTTACAGTGGGGATGGAGTCAGTGTGATTCCAACCTCTCGTTGTGGCATATAGTTTATATTATTCTAATTTTATGTCGTGCAGTGTGGTCTAGAGAAGAACTTGTTTGGAAACCATCCAGTCTCGCTGCCAGCAACAGAGTCCAGAGGCCCCCCTCCTGCTTTTGCTACAGACCCTCTGATGCAAGTATCTGCTGGAGGCAGAGAGCCCAACGAGAGCTTGCCACCATCAGCAGTAGGAGATGCTAGAGGATACTCAGTTGCAAGTGGAATTGGTTACACAAAACCTTCAAGCATAGATATTGTGGAGATAGATGCTCCTGGTTCTGCTAATTCATCTCTGTCTAATCATGATTCCAGTTTCATTAAAAGCTCGAGCCCTGCTGGTGTAAGAGGATTTTGTTAATAATCATTATATGAAATTTATGTGGGTCAAAATTTTCTTTGCCCATGTACCCAATGATTGTGTGCTTGCATGTGCATGTCTGGTTTATTTTCTTCTAGTTACTTTTGCACTTATTATTTTGTTTAATATTGCAACATGACACAGCCTGGTGCTACTACACGAAAGAGTGCAATCCAAGTTGAAAGGCAGAACTCGGAAATTTCATATTATGCTGATGATGAAGATGCGAATCGGAAAAAATACACACGAAGAGGTGAGAGTATTTTCCTTTTAGTTTCTTATTGCTATTTCTTTCTTCCTTTCCCCTTTTTTGGAAGGCTGTATTGCTATGTCTTGTTGACATGACTCTTGGTGACAAATCTTGCTATACAATTGGTGATAGGATAGATAAAGCCATCTACAAATTACACCTGATACTATTTATCTATATAATAAAAAATGAGTGTTTGAATTTTGTCGCAGTCATATTTTCTCTCTTAAAACTATCACCAATCACTTACCTTACCCATCATCTTTTTGTCAAATTCAAACTCAAACGTCAAATTGCATCACTCATTTTTATCATATATTTAATTATTTATATATTTCCTCCCTAAAAATATCACATCACTCATTTCTATCATATATTTAATCATTTAATATTTGATTAATTTGTAGTTAATGTATTTAAAAAAAATTTAATATAGTGGTATCGATTTTTTAGACGCTTGAATTTTATATTTTATCGTGTCTTCAGACACGGGTTATAACTAGTTTTATTATATCTTCCACATGGTACATTTTATTATCTTCTTGTAACTGAATTGTTTCATGATGTTAATAAAATCAGTACCAAACTTTTTATTCCAAAATTATTTATTGGACTCGTTACTATTTTTTTTGATATCATCTTTGTTCCATCTCATTTTGTGTTGGTGACTGCTCTAGTGTTGTTCAATGCTTGCCATATTATGGAAATATGGAACCAAAATAATGGAGGTTTTAATTGTAGGTACATTCCGCCATAAGTTTCTAAGGTTCTGGTCGACTGGATTACCGACTCTGCCAGTGACTGCGCCGACACGGAAAGATGCTTCAAATGCTAATGACGTCCTAGAAGGTCGTCAGCGGCACCATAGATCTTCAAGGATGGATCCGAGAAAAATCCTTCTCGTCATAGCAATCATGTAATGTTTGCTTATCTTCTTTCTTGGTTACCTCTGTACATCTATGTTTGTTTTTATTCTTTTCCATTATTTTTTTGAACTTATAGAAAGAAATGCATACCTTTGTTCCTCACCAGACTAGATTATAAGTTAGAGTGAGGTATACGATATCATAATAGTAAAAGTGATAAAAAAAAAAAATTCAAAAAATCTTTTTCCAACTATCTTGTGGTTTAGGCTCAATAGGGATTTTCCTTAGGGGTGACAGAAACAATAAATGTTTTAATTTTAGATATCTTTACTTCTATATTAGTCTTTTGTGGACAGAAAACAATACCTCTTCGACTAATGCATAATAACGTGCAGGGCATGCATGGCGACGATGGGTATTCTTTATTACAGACTCGCACAACGTGGTCTTGGTGAGGAGCTGCCTGATGATGAGCAGCAGCAATCTCTTGAAATGGTATGATGGTATATTAGTTTCTCATTTGCTAATGGTTACTTGTGCTTCAGCTGCTTCTTGTTTCTTTTGAGCTTTCACACATTCCTGGCCTACATTGGAACATACAAATTCCAGAGTCCTGTTTCTATAGAGAATTTGCACTTCTTTAATGACAGCAAATGTTATATGTCATTGCCCAAATTAGCTCCTGGCCCATTTTTTACCTTATTGTTTAAAATTGGCTGGGAATAATCAGAGAACTTATTTGCTTGATTGTGTGGGTTTCTGTAAATATAATCTTGCAATAACAATTTGGACCAAGATCAACCAAAAGTATCAAATTCTTCTTTATTTGCATAAGCCACCAGCCTACCAGAAAAAGGAGAAGGCAAACTCCTCAATTTTTTTAATGTTTCAATAATCAGGGGTGTCTGGTTAGTTAACGTACAACTCGATTAATTTTTCACCCTGATGTTGGGATTAACATATTCATGAGTATAAATCTCTTTTGGCGTAACTCTTAAGGAATTGTCTAGATTTTAATTTAAGACATCTAGATTTATAAATCGTCTATGTTACTAGTTGAATTATCTTTTAGGGTTAACTCACCATATTTTGACTTAAATAGAAGGGGAGGGATTGCCTTGGTACAAAATTGGAGTCAATAATTGCAAGTTTTATCGCAACGTGTCCATTCGACTAGAGATTAATGCAAGTTATCGAGTATGAAATTAATGGGGAGGGTTTAGATTCTAACCAGCTTGAGCTTAATAAATAAATTGATGTAAACCAGTCTATGCACAACTGAATTCAGTATGAGATAAACTCAATTATTTATAAATGATTTGTGTATGAGTTAAGCAAAATTTATAAAAACAAAAATTTGGATTCTCGACCCGAATAGCATCTTACTAGACCAAGAGGACTGCCCATAGGCTGGGCCAAGGGTCGGGCCAAAGGCCGAAGTCTAACATCTTTTTTTTTGGTATTCATATCAACTTCCATTGACCCCAAAAAAGTGTTGGTTGTGCTTAATAAACACTTCAAAAAGGAGCATGAAATCTTATGTTCTTTAAAAAAAACACCATGATGTTCATTTTTAAAAAAAATAAATTTAACGAGGAACCTCGATAAGACAATACTACTTTGAACCCATCTCTGCGAGAGTAAATTTTAAATAACTATAATTATCTGTAAATTACGGGTATGAGTTAAGCTCAAGGAACAACGAGAATCAAATCATTGATGTTCGATGCGGGTTATGATGTTCATATTTATTACAATGGATTCTACTATTTTTTTTTTAATGTGATCTATTTTGATTGATTACCAAAAAAATTGAATTTAATTTACCCAATGCACTTCGGTTAACTTAGTAGACATAGCATCATTTCATTGGTCATTGGAACCAGATTTGATAGGGGAAGCCAATTCTGTAATTATTTTCTATTTCCTAGCAATCACAAGGAGAAGATAGTTCAGCGCAGGAAACTCTCTCCACCGTAAGATTTGTGAAATATGCATATGGCCTTACCTTCCCAGGTAGAGATGCTATTTCAGATTCTAAGGAGAAGTGATTATCATTAGTATAATATTTGTTATCAAATAATCATAGGGTTCCTCCTCTTCCTCAAGATAAATATTTAATACCGAGATTAAAATATTCACGAGGAATGTTTAATCACAAATCATTTAGAATAATTCCGAATTAGAATAGAAAGATTCTTTGTCGAGAAGACTTTTAAATTTTCAGATTTGGTAATGGGATGGGTGGTTGAAAACTAGGGTTTTGAACTACTCAAGTTCTAAAATGAAGAACTTGATTATTATTATTATTATTTCTCGGGTCTAACTATGGTATCGATATATAATTTTTTTAGTATTATTCATTAACCTTTTTTATCCAATAAAAGTATGACACAAAGTAAAATTATTTTATTATTTTTCATAAATTATTTAAACCGAAATAAAATCAAATTCGATACCTTAGTGCTATCCACCATCTCTGTTGTACTTGCACGTAGTGTACTACTTCAGATTCAACGCGGCGAACTGGGTCAGCATTATTGATGATGATATTCAACTCTCTTTTCATCTTTTTAGACATTATTAGTTTAGCAATAAATAACATTAACCTGACATCATTAAGTACTTAATTTTAAAATAAAAAATTTAACACGACCACTTAAAGAATATAAATTTATGGGAAATATCAATATTATTAATTAATTAAGGGTTGGTGGGTTGTGGTGTCCACTTACCAAGGATTATAATAAATTTATAGATTATTAAACCGCTTATAATTTACTCTTCTATTATATTTAATTGCAGTAGTATACTAGTATTACACTTTTATAAAAAAAAAATAGTATTACACGAATACTCCGTTTGGTACGCTGAAAAAATAAAAGGATAGAAAGTTAGAAGGATGAAAAGTTGGAGGAATAGATAAAACATTATGATTGGTAAGGAAAGAAAGTAATAAGGATAGAAAAGTGAATAAATTAAATTTTCTTCCAACTCAACAAAATCAATCCCTCCAAAATCGGAAAGAAAATGGATGAAAAATTAATTATTTGTGTTGAAATGTATCTTATTTGTCTATATATATTATATATATATTAATTTCATAAAAAAATATATGATAAAATATGTATTTATATATATATATATATATATATATATATATAAATTAAAAAATAAAAAATAAAAAATTTAAATTTAAAAAAAATATTTTTTTCATCTGAACTTGGGGTAAAATTTTTTGACTCAATACGACTCGAACTCGACACAAATTTTATAACACGAACTTGATTATAACTCGACACGAACTTCAAACTGACCTGATACACAAACAAGAAATCTAAAAGACTCATAATTTTATGACGCAACACGAATCTGACACGACACGACTTGATTGTCAACCCTAACCTTAACCATTACAAAAAGAAAATTAGTTATTTTTATTTTTCATCCATCCAACCAAATATAAAGGAAGAAAAGTGTATCATTCCTACTTTTTATCATTGAAGGATATAAAGTGTATCCCTTCTACTTTTCATCCTTCCTATTTTTCATTCTTCTTACCAAACGGAGCATAACTAAAAAAAAAGGATAAAAAATATGAATAAAATAATTTGAATTTCGAATGTATAAAAGTCTAGTCACTCTTTCTCAGGAAAAATGTTATAAACCTACTTAGGTTATGAAGACTATTAGGACTAGTATTCGAATTTGAAGAAGTAGCCGATACAAGCGTAGACATCCCGTAGTAAATAAATACTACCACTATGATAATATCACATCATTTGACTCCCCTTTTTGGTCTATTTTTTTTTTGTTAATATAGCAGTGCTCATTTAATAGTTTGCTCATATCACTTTTATCCTCTATATATTTTTAAATAACCATTTACAATTACCTATAATTTTTTTAAACCAAATTTAACAGCTTAATTTTTTTTTTATCTATCCATATCTGACCTTCTATGTTTATCTATTAGCAATAATTCTGTATCTCAATACACTCTATAATATCAAAAATTGAATATTAATTGTGCGATATTTATATTTTAAGTAATAATTCATTTTTTTAACTACGCAATTTAAAATTAAAGTGAACACATCAAAAATAAGAGATGGATATGAGAGAGAAAAAAAAAGTAAGTATAGATTAATGAGGTTGAGTGTGTAAGTTAAATTATGTGACATTGAGAATTGTGCAGAGGAAATAATGTTTTTGAATGGATTTTTTTTTTTTTTTTGCAATGAATTTTGCATCATTTGATTAAAATAAATAAAAATTAGATCAATCTTAACTATTATTGTGCTTTATAAATTTTGTGATTCAAGTGCATAGCCTACTCCAATTATGATAAGAACACACGCTCGAGCAACTTTCGACTCGTGTTTTGTTTTTTTTTTTTGGGGTGATGAATGAGGAAAATATGATGGTTTAGCTTTGTACTAGGAAGAAGAAAGATAAAAAGAAGATTCATAATAATTAACTTTATCAATAACCATAGTTTTTTTGCATTCAAAAAATTGAATTTTGAAAGAAAAGGGGGGAGGGGGGGGGGGGGGGCGATTCCATAATTTAAAGGAGCTCTCAAAAGACCAATACTATTTGGACATAATTTACCAATCTAATTTATTTGTCTAATCATTCATAACTATTAGATTAACAGTGGAGACATATTGAAGTGAAAGCCTATGGAATTATTGAACTATTCACGAGCCTATGCCACCAGGGTTAAAAGCAATAGATAGACTGATTCATATAGGCTGTGGTCAACGAGAACTTATAATGGAGGATTGACAAACTAGAAAAACTCTTTTCTTTTTCAATTAATCATAGCTATGATATTCCATGACTTTCACTAGGTATAAAATGATTGGGTTCCAAACCTCACCCGTGATAAAAAAAAAAAAGAGATTAAAGCTGCTTCATAGATTTCTGTCTCATGATCACATGATATGGGATTATTCATTAAACTAAATTCTGTCCACTTGGTGCTCACTGAACTATACTGCAGAGTTCAATGGAGATGAATCAATTTTCTTCAAGAATGGCTTATGCAGATACCATATCTTTATGTTCTGCCCCTGGACCATGCATGATAGTGTTGTGATTTATAGGATTCTATGCGGGCAAAAAGGACCTGATTCACTTGGTTGTGCCTTGTTATCCTAATCCAAATTTTCTGCTTACATAACATTTTAAGTTGTAACTAAAATGTTACTATTAGATTGTGTGCCTCGCGCTGACTACGTGTTCTTTGGATTCTTCGCCTTCCTGCCACCAGTGGAACCAAGCTAGCACCCTTGTGTTGGTTGGGAAAGTGAGCATTTCCCTCGCGAAAGATTCAATCCAGCCACATGTTCAATTAGTTATGTGAGAGATTCGACAAACATTTGTTAGTTAGGTTTAGATCATTAGAGGAGAGAGAGAAAAAAAAAAGTTGGAAGACAATGTGTCTAGTTCCAGGTAGTTTTGAGAATGTCAGACTCATTCTTAAAGACACCCCCCCCCCCAAAAAAAAAAAAAAAAAAAAAACATCGTCTAGATTTCCAGTTGTGATTCTCTAGCTCCGCATTATTCCATGCCTCACTTTCCTTCTCAATAATTGATGTGTTCGGTTTTTGATACTGACTAATTTGCAGTTAATCCCATTTTGATGATTGGCTGTAAGAGACTAATCACTCTGATTAAGTTCTTTAATTCAAGTTTAAGACGTTTAAAGTCCCCCAAGAACTGAGTTATTTTAGTCCATCATTGCTTGAACTAAGCCCTTCCCTGAGTTGTCCTTGGTCCCATTACAGATTCATACTAATTGATTAAGAATTGAAGTCAATCAGGTGTGGCATTCTGTGTATGATCTCGCGTATAAATATTCTCTTGATGTCCATTTTTCGTGCATCAAGCAAATCTAGCTTCTCTTGACAGTTAACACCCCCCCCCCCCCCCCCCCCAAAAAAAAAAAAAAAAAAATCAACATTGCCAAAAGGTTTCCAATTGAAACAAGAAGAATATGGAGCCTGTAGGAGCCATGGCTGGAGAAGGATGGAACTCCTTTAGTGGAATGTAATCCACTGAAGAGGCTGACTTCATGGCACAGCTGCTTGGTAACTGTTCAATTCCAAATGAGCTACCCGGGGTTTAGCTCTGCAGTCCCCTCTACTTCTTGGCCTGACCATGAAACAACTACGAGCATGGTGGGGGTTTACGAAAATACTTTTTATTCTTCAGATAATACTAATACTAATATGAACTGTTTTTCACAAGGGAGTAGTTATAGTGGTGGTAATAGTTTTCTTTTTCCCACATCAAGTAATGAATGCTACTGCCTGGGTGACTTTCATCAAACCAATCTACTGGAAGGACATGACTGCTCAAACCAAGACATGAGCAATAGGAGCATGGAGGAGACTGGTGGGAGCTTGTCTGAAGCTGTTCTTTGTGCAAAGACTTTGGAGCTCAGTAATGAACCTGAAATTCCGGTGCCAGAACCATCTACAGATGAAATGTTTAACGATCCATCACACAACTCGAAAAAAAGAACTTGGATCTCCGGAGATGTGAGTGTAATGCTTTACCTTATACCAAGTTATGAAGAATGTGATTGGAATATGTTATATATTGGGGTTTCTCATAACGGTTTCTTAATGCAGGTCCAAAAGAACAAGAGGACTATGAAGCCAAAGAAGAACCAGACACCTAACTTAACTCATAACAATGATGAAGAAATCAGTGCTGTGCTTTACAGGCAGAGCTCTAGCAACAACTGCGATGGAGGACTGATTTTAAGGTCAAGATCAAAAGGGGCTGCTGCTTTCAACTTAAATGGCAAGAAACGCGCCATCAAGGGTTCAGCTACCGATCCTCAGAGCCTCTACGCAAGGGTAAATTACCAATTGTTTAGCAAATTAGTCCAGCTTTAGAGAATATGCTGCAAAAAACAGTTGATTTACTCATATTTCCTTTCCATCTTGTAGAGAAGAAGAGAGAGAATAAACAAGCGATTGAGGGTTCTACAAAACCTTGTCCCTAATGGAACAAAGGTAGGCAGTTTGCAGATGAAAACTGCATTGCTTATTTCTTAGTTCAAGTTGAAAAGGGGATAATCCTCAGAACCAATTCTTTTGGGATGACAGGTTGATATAAGCACAATGCTTGAAGAGGCAGTCCAGTATGTGAAGTTTTTGCAACTTCAAATCAAGGCAAGAAACTCAAGTTCAGTACATTTTGAGTCAAAAATACAGAGTTTTTGAGGAGAATACTCCAAATAATCTTTTTCTATTACTGGCTGGGCATAAATAGCCACTATATAAAGCTTTAGATCCTATAGTTTAGGACTAATCGACTAACTATAAGGAAACTATAGCTATCAAGATACAATCACATATTTATAGGGATTCTAGTAATTCTAGTCTATTTGCACAGCTAGTAGTAGAGACAAATTAGGGGCTAGAATATTGGAGAACCAACTTAGAGATAATTACTCTTGATTGTCAACACTCCCCCTTAAGTTGGTGCGTAGATGTCGCTCATTCCTAGTTTGTCGAGACAGTCATTAAATGCTTGGTTTGACACTGCCTTGGTCAGCACATTAGCAAGCTGGTCTTGAGATCGAACATGAGGAACTTCAATCAATTTTTCTCCCAGTTTCCCCTTGATAAAATGTCAATCAACCTCAACATGTTTGGTTCGATCATGTTGGACAGGATTATGGGCAATATCACACGCTGCCTTGTTATCACAATATAACTTCATAGGGCTGACTTGCTTAATATGTAAATCTTGCATCAGATTTCTGATCCACAATAATTCGCATATTGTCGTAGCCATTCCTCTGTATTTGGCTTCAGTACTAGATCTCGCAACTACCTCCTGTTGTTTACTTCGCCAAGTAACCAAATTTCCTCCTACAAACGTGAAATAGCTAGACGTAGAACGTCTCTTTTTGTGAATAAAATTCCCTTTCCTGGAGATGACTTTAAGTAGCGTAAGATATGGATGACAGCATTCGTATGTTCTTCACTTGGGGAGTGCATGAATTAACTAACCACACTCAGCGCATAAGCTAAATTAGGTCGAGTATGTGCAAGATACATTAATCTTTCAACCAGTCTCTGATAGCGTTCTTTGTTAGCAAGAACTTGATTTGAATGCACACATAGTTTCAGATTTTCTTCCATAGGAGTGCTAGCTGGACTACATGCTGTCATACCAGTTTCATTCAGTAAGTCTAAGGCATATTTTCTTTGTGACAGAAAAATACCTTTCTTCGATCTTGACACTTCAATTCCAAGGAAATACTTCAATTCACCGAGATCCTTCATCTCAAACTTACGGGCAAGATGCTCCTGTAGTGTTTTCCTTTCTTCAAGATCATTTCCAGTCACTATCATATCATTAACATACACAATAAGAGCTGTGATTTGTTCTTCATTATGCTTCAAGAATAGAGTGTGATCTGAGTTACTTTGCTTGTAACCAATAGCCTTCATAAAACTTGTGAACCTTCCAAACCATGCTCTAGGAGACTGTTTCAAACCATATAGGGATTTTCTTAACCTACAGACTTGTGTTATTACCTTCAGTTTGTAGATTACAGCCGGGGGCAAACTCCATATAGACTTATTCTTGGAGATTTCCATGCAGAAATGCATTCTTTACATCAAACTGGTGTAAAGGCCAATCAAGATTCACCGCCAGAGATAATAGAATATGAACAGTATTAATTTTGGCAACTGGTGCGAATGTCTCCATATAATCAATTCCATATGTTTGAGTGTATCCCTTGGTGACAAGTCTTGCTTTGCACCGTTCAATAGTTCCATCGGCTTTGTATTTAATGGTGAAGACCCACCTACATCCGACAGGTATCTTCCCTTCAGGCAAGTCAACAACTTCCCACGTTGAGTTCTTTTGAAGGGCCTTCATTTCTTCATTCCTTGCCTCCCTCCATCTGGGATCTTTCAAGGCTTCCTGCACACTGTTAGGAATAGATACAACAGATAATTGGTTCACAAATGTCATACTTTCCTTTGACAATCTATGGTAGGATATATAGTTATTTATGGGATATTTAGATTTAGAGTTGAGGACAAGTTCATAGCTAACTTTGGGTTTCCCTCGTGTGACTCAATTGGGTAACACTTTTAGGTGAGATTTAGATTCAAAATTTTCATGAGACTTAGGCATGGAATCGGCTGGAGAAGACAATTGGTTAGCTAGTACATAGTGAGAGATTGACGGCACTCCCATTTGATTCTAAACTTCCATCTGACCCTAATTCTCATCCTCAAAAAATTCTGGACCATCAACAGTCTCACCTGGACACTCCTCCCTATTATCCATGGTGTTACCATCAGTTGGACATTCACCACTAGTTTCTAAGTTATCACCTCTTATAAAATCCAAGTTGTCCAAAGGATGACGTAAAGTCTGCACTTCATCTCTATTCTCCCCCTGAAGTGAAGACTCAGAATAATACATATCATTTTCATGAAAGACCACATCAAGGGTAACATAAAGCTTTCGAGAAGGGGGTGATAACACCGATAGCCTTTTTGATGCAAGGCATAGCCAACAAATACACATCGAAGTGCCCGAGGTTCCAACTTAGTTCTCAAGCCTTTGTGATGATGCACAATGGCTACACATCCAAAAACTTTAGGGGACAAATTTGGTATGGTAGGAGCACTTACAGTATGATGAAGGACATCAAAGGGAGTTTGAAATTGTAGGGAACTAGAAGGTAAACGGTTGATAAGGTAGGCTGCAGCAGTGACAACTTCACCCCAATAACTGGAGGGCATGTGAGCTTCAAACAAGGAAGCACGAACCACCTCAAGAAGGTGACAATTTTTTTGTTCGGCTACCCCGTTTTGTTGAGGGGTGGAAGGGCAAGTAGTCTGATGAACAATGCCATGTAAATTCAGGTATTGTTTCAAGTCTTAATTGATAAACTCGCCTCCATTATCACTACGGATAACTTAAATGTTAGATTGATAGTGAGTTGCTATCATTTTTGTGAAATTGCTGAATAGGGAACTCACTTCACTCTTTGATTTCATCAAGCAAATCCAAGTCATACGAGTGTGATCATCAATAAATGAAACAAACCAACGTGCTCCACTCAAATAAGAAGTACTTGCAGGCCCCCATACATCAGAGTGAATAACCATAAAAGGAACAGGACTTTTATTCATACTAAAGGGAAATGGAACACGATGGCTTTTAGCCAGTTCACAAATGTCACACTTAAAATTTGAAACAGTCAATTGCGAAAAAAGTTGTGGAAACAATTTATGTAAATATCCAAAAGATGCATGGCCTAAGCGCCTGTGCCACAACTAGATTTTTGAACTTTGATGTTTATCAGGTGTATTAGCTAAAAAAACTTGAGCCAACTGATTTGAGCTTGTCGGCATTAGATCCAGATAGTAGAGCTTCCCTCTCCTAGTACCATAACCAATTGTCTTCCGAGTCTGAATGTCCTCAAAGACACAAAGGTTAGGCCAAAAAATCACAACATAATTTAAAGTATGGGTTATTTGAGCAACAGACAATAGATATCTAATCAATTCATAGCACCATGACTTAGTGTGTCCAGTTCCACCACAATGAGTACACACACGTTCTGGTCGTGCAGCTCCTATTTCGTAGTTGCAATTTTGTGATCCAACCGGCTGATTATGATCATGATTCAGTGGACCAGATGTTCAATCTAGTTTTGGGTTTGTTTGCAGTTGTTGATACTTGACTCGGCGAGCTACCATAGTAGATGGCTCTGAATGTTCAGGTTCGCCATTCAGTGCAGCTCGGCGAACAGAATCACGACGAACATACGCATAAGTTTCTTCAAGATCCAGTACAGGATCCCTCCTGAGAATCTCACCTCGAATTTGTTCAAATTCTGCATGTAGTCTTTTCAGAAAAATATGCACCCGCAATCTCTCAATTGATTTTTTTATAGGCAATAACATCATCAGAATCTTTCATGACAATTTTATCACGATGATCTAGCTCTTGAAAAATTTCTATCAGATCACCATAATAGGTTGAAAGAGGACGACCAACCTTTTTGGTAAAGAATGCTTGTTGATTCAGTGCAAAAAGTTGCGATTCATCTGCCTCAACATAGAATGCTTTGGCAAGAGCAGTCTAGATTTCACGTGCAGTAGGCAATCTAAGATAGCGTTTCATAATCTCCAATGACATAGAGGTCAGTAACCATCCTTTGACCTTTTGATTCTCAGCATACCACTTCGCATAGGAAGTATCAGTAACCTTCGAAGATGTTTTACTCGTAAGATATTCAAGCTTCTCACGTCCTGCAATCTGCATTTCCATGATTTGAGACCAGACATCATAATTGGTTTCGCTAAGAATGACATTAGTTGTGAAACTAGGGTTTTCTGATTGAACATGGATAACTGGTACAGAGGATGATTTGGGTTTGTCATTAGTCATGGTGCGAGGGATATATGAGAATTCAGGCTGTGATGATATAGAATGGATAATAATACCAACTCTGATACCAAGTCAAAAATATAGAGTTTTTGAGGAGAATACTCCAAATAATCTTTTTCTATTATTGACTGGGCATAAATAACCACTGTACAAAGCTTTAGATCCTATAGTTTAGGACTGATCGACTAACTATAAGGAAATTATAGCTATCAAGATACAATCACATATTTACAAGGATTCTAGTAATTCTAGTCTATCTGTACAGCTAATAGTAGAGACAAATTAGGGGATAGAATATTGGAGAATCAACTTGGAGATAATTACTCTTGATTGTCAACATTTTGAGTGCACATGAATTTTAGAGAGAGGATATTCCAGCAGTTTGGCTTGATATTCTAAAAAAATGCACATGAATAAATAAAGGGACACTCTAGTGGACCGTGTATAGATCAGGGTTCGAGCCACTGAATTAGTCTTTCTACACAAGAGGTTAAAGCTAAGTGCGTCTCACACATTCTAAACTTTCTAGTGGTGGGAGTCTCGTGCATTGGACTACTTTTTTTTTTCTTTTTTGGAATCCCGTTAACCAATAAAACAATGATATTTCTTAGGGGTAGTAATTTTTGGTACAATACGAAAACACAACTCGAGATTAATACAAAATCAGTGAGTTCGGGTTGATCATTTCTTGACACGAACCCGTATATGACACGACCCGTTAACATGAATAATAAATGGGTTTGGTTAGTATCAAACATAAATAATACGAAATTGACATGATTAACAAGTTTAAGTAGATAAAATAATAATTTTTTATTATATTTTATTAAGTAGAAAGATATTTTTACTAATTTTTATTATTATATTTATTAAGTTAATTTTTAATTTATAAAAAAAATATGAGTATAGTTTCGATTAAATGATAAGGAAATTTTAGACATAAAACTAAGTGTTAAATTTTTTATTCATAGGTTATACGGATCAACACGAACATGAAATGAAAATAAATAAATCGACATAACATGATACAATTAATTAAACGAATTAGGTTTAAAATTAACTAGTGCATGACACAAACTCGAAATGACCCAATATGAACACGACCCGACATGATTGTGACTCTTAATATCCATGGTTGTCTAGATATTTTGAGAGTGAGAAACAGATTATAATGGTTTCTTTTCTGTTTACAATTGCAGCTCTTGAGCTCTGATAATCTGTGGATGTATGCTACCATTGCATACAATGGAAGGGAAATGGTTCTGGATCTGAAGATCACCCCATCAAGATGATGCTCTTGGAAGATGGAATGGCGGTGCTGAATTTCCATTAAAAAAAAAAATGCCAAATAAATACAGTATTTAAAAAATCATTGCCATACTGTAATACTTTATTTTTTTTCCGATTAATATCAGCAAAAGCTGGCTCTATTTTATCCCCATGAGGAATAATAATGTTTAGTAATCTATTATATTTGACAAGTCTATCGAATATAGTTTGAACGAGCTTTTAGCGATTTTTTCATGGTATTGACCATAAAGGAAAGTAGCATAATCCGTATTATTTCATTTATTCAAGTAGATGGGCATTGTAAAAACCTGTTTACAAAATGGTAACATTTTGAATTAATTAATGTGTGAATTTATTTTCGTTTATAACTTTTCTTTTATACATCGGTAAATCACTATTACAATAAACAATCAACTATGATAGTTGTTCTCATCTTCGTTACTATACGTCGATACCATAAAGTGTCATGTTTTTGCATTGAAATGCTTTTGTATATTTTCAATAATTGAAAAATAAGACTGATTTTCACAACTTCACGAAATAAACCCCCCCAAAAAAGAAGCAGAAAAAGAAAATACCATGCATTTTTAGAAACCAGAATCGCAACTGTACAATGTTTCTTTTTTTTTTTTTTTTTTTTTTTGGGGGGGGTTTAAATAACAACTTTACAATTTTTCATTGTGGCTCGAAGTTTTTCTTGCCACAAAAGTCGAAAATAATCCTATATTTTTCGTTTTTCTATAATGCCATTGGCAGCTAAGGTTTGTGTGATTCTTTCAAATAATTGAAAATAAAAGTGTATGTTACTTGCACCAATAGCTAGGTTTCAGAATATTTTTTCACTCGGTCTAAAAACAAGACGGTGATACCAAGTTAGCATGACGTAGGGATATTTAACCTTCGACTTTTTTTTTGTGCAAAAGAAGAGATCGACGACCAATAAGTAATAACCCCCAGAGCGTAATCATCAAAATCTCTCAATTGTAGAATATTCGGTTTGAGCTATATCAACTAATCCGAAAGGCCAATCTATTTACCACAATACTACTAAAATCAAGCAACAAATAATGTTACTCATGTGAATCAAACTCTACTTGATAACTACATAACAATCAAGAATCACTCTAAATGAATACGATTTACCACTAAACTACTAGCTCGGGTGGTAACCCATATGACTTGTAGATTCATGATTGGACTCGATTTATACAAGAAATCCACCTTAGCATTTAAAAAATCGTTACTCGACCTTTCCAGGGAAAGTTAAAACACCTCCCATTTTGCTCAAAGAAAATGAATTTGCCATTTAGGCAGAAAGTCTCAATCAACATATTTCTGGTACATTTTTATTTCCCTTTTTTGTGCCTGAATCATTCGTAGATCAGCCTTACCAAAGCAATAGATAAAATCCAATTTTTTTTTTGGTTCAACATTAAGTGTCCAGATTAACTTACACGTACATCGACTAATCCTCTTCTCAATCTGATTAAAGGCAAGTTATCAACACCATAATTAAGATATTCATAAGGGATAAATTTCTTATGACCTAACCCTAAAGGGTTGGCAATATTCAAACTGTCTGCACTTTAATCAGTTCAAAAAATATATTTTGTCCTTTGATCTGATTGTATCAAAAGACACCAATAGCAATTCCTTCATTCTTACATTTCCAATTACGACTTCTCTAATCTATGACAGACACCAAACAATAAACACAAACCACATTGACTATGGGTGCTGGTAACAACCCCAACCATTTGCATACTTGGGGAGTTCAGAATCAAGAAATTAAACAATTTGGCAAAAAGATAAAAACTAAACACTAGATCAATACATAACTTACAAAAGGTGGCCCCAAAAGAACCATCAAAGAGCATTGCATAGTGGACAAACTGAATATGTATTATTAAATTATTACTACACTCTGATACAAATTTTGCTAATCGGGGCAACTAAGATAGTCAAATCTCGTTACATGCAGAATCATGCAATCCTGGCACAAATTCATCGAAAAGAAAAAGGTGCACACGATACTGCACAACTAAGTGACAACACTTTTAACATCTAAGGAGACAGACCTTCCTACACACTTAAGCGATAATCCTTTCCAATCAGCCCAGAACCGATCCCTACTCTGGTTCAGTGTGACATGGACAATATCTTGCGTTCGATTTTATTGTCCAAAATATTTTTACATAGTTCGAAAATTTACCTGCAAAAACTTTGGCTGGATAGAAGGGTATGAAACACCTTGAATGAAACCCAAATTCCTTGAAACATGATAGAGCTTTGTTGTCAAGCACGATCGTCACTGATATGGTTTGGGACTTCATTTTGACTGTCCAGAGGCATGTACTGCGCCATTATAGCTCTGATCTCTGAGTCCATGTATGACTGAAAATGCAATGATAGAAAGAAAATTAGGAGTGTGAAACTCACATTAGTGTCAGATTTGTATCACAAATTATCAACTTATTAAGACACCCAAGAATTGGTTCACTTACGAAAAATGCGGTTCACTAACATCAAAATTTTAGAATCCCACAGACGCTCACGTTTATGAGCAAACAACCCCGCACCCCACATGCACACAAACAAACACACAAAAAGAAAAATTCAACTGGTTTTCTCCTTTAGAAAAGGTTTTGTGCAGATCTCCCTGAATATATGGCATAAGGGGCTTGGATTGATTATGCATGATACTACCTAGTTCCTTCGTTTTGGTTTTTGGGTTTGGGTTTTATTGTCTAGGGTGATATAAGGGGCTTTGTTTTTTTTTCTTCTTGTGGGGGGGAAGGGTCGGTTGCCTCAGTCCTAGACAAATCAACTTTAAGCCAGTTTAGTCTTTTCGATTTATCCTCAATTCAGATCCCAACAATTCAGTTTAAGCCCAGTCATCAACTAATTATGTCAGCTTTCACCAACCAAAGCACAAAAATGACTGATGATTTTAAAAGCCGAGCATGCCAAAATAAAGCACATGAGACATTTATTAAGCCTGTGATTATAGCTGCTATAGGTAAAATCGCTGCAATCCATCAAATTTAAAGGCTTAAACATAATAACTTTGTTTACCAGCATTAACTGAGAAAAAACATGCACCAAACTTACCCTCAATCTATATCTGTATACAAGATATGCTCCACCAGCAGCCATACCCAAACCTATCAATATGACCCAAACAGCGGCCCATGCAGACTTTACTTCGGTAGCTCTCTTACCTGCAGATGACAATCTTTGATATCAGGACCTGCACTGGGCATGCATGTCAGTAGACACGAAAAGCCACAAAGTATGAGGCTGTGCACTCACTTATGCAGGTATCATGGTCCCGGATATACAGAAGCTCCCCACCACAAGTGCATTCGTAGCTGCCCCAGGTATTCTTGCAGCTGCATTCGGGGCACTGACAAGCTTTTTTCTCTTTGCATTCATCAATATCTGTGCAGTGAGAACAAATCATGTAAGATCAGTAGTCAAATCAGGAATTTCCCTGAGTAGACGTGATTGAGAATTAGTTGAGCTCAATGTGACATCAGGAATTTTATTGTCCATCAGGTAGCTTCTTTCCTAGAGTCTTCACCTATACGGCACTAGTCGACTATAGGTTTCCTAATGGCACTGAACCATCAGTTCATTGTCAGTGCATGAAGGATTTATAAATTACACATAACATACAACGGAAGTTTCAAACCATCAGTTGTAGAGTTTCCAATCTGTGTGGATTTGAGTTTCCAATCACTCCTTGAAATACCCTGATGCAGATGCTTCAATGCAGGGAGGTTGAAAAATAGTAACCTACTTAACCTAGACCCAACGAGTCCTAGAGATCCATGGATAGCCTCACGTTTCCCAAGCACAGGAGTCAGTCATGTGATTCTTTCAGCCAGCAAGCAGGACCTCTTAAATAAAAAATATGGTCCATATGAGCCTCAGGAGCCAAGTTGTCCTAACTACTATTTTCAAGTTCACCTTTTGAGTATGAACATTGTTTTTCCTAACACTGACACTGACATCGACACTGACTAAAATAGGACAAGCTAATCATGCAAGCTCTCTTACCTGCACAACTGTTGGCGCCATCGCTTTTAAACCCTTGAGGACACGTGCATTTGCTGTCTTCATTATCCTGTTGATTTTGTAATTTTGAATTTTGCATCTGAATCTATTTGCTCAAAGGGATATAGAGGAATAGAAATAAACTGTGTAATGATCACCAACCAAACAAGCAGAGAAGGTGTGTCCATTTCGGGTTTCATGCCAACAGCCTCCATTATTGATCTTGCAACGCCCAGGACCACTTGCTGCAAAAGGAAAAGATAAACCACATCAAAGGCCCAATTGACATGACTATGGCATGTTTTAAAACAAAGAAAACTTTGTTAAAAAATTACATAAAAATAGCATAAAAGGATAAAAACTATAAAAGTAGGCAGATGCCGAAATGTGATTTGTAAACAGAATTAGCACTTCCATCTGAACCTTACAAACATAAATTCCCTGGCTGCAACCCTTGTCTAGCATTGCATGACTAACCAGAAGGTCCAGCAGATGAGCCAGACAGTAGTTCATCTAGAGGCCAATAATGATAGAAAATAATTTCCATCCATTGAATCTGGAAACAGCTAGTTTTTTCCAACGATTTCATTCTATGTAATATTGTAAAGTAAATTAGATAGTCCATAAATAATAGCATTTTTCAAAAGTTAAAAGACAATGAATGTAAATTAGATAGTCCAGAAATTCTCAACAAAATTTCACCAAGTGGATTTATAGGTTCCACTAATTTGTAAGCATACAAATAAAGAATGTGCTTATTGCATAGACCAAGGATGAAAATTTCATCTGGTGCTTAGTTTTGTTTGCACCAAAACGGAACGTTAAAGAAACATTTTGTTGTGGTGCGCAGGTTTGGTTAGCTAGGAAATGAATATGTTTTGAAAACATATAGGAAATGTTTCAACAGAAAATGAAAATTTAGTATTTGGATCCCGCAACACTCCAAGCATCCCGAAACATGAGACTTCCAATTTTCTATTACAGATTTGTTTCAGTTCACAAAAACCAAAATGTTTCGGTCATTCCGATGGGAAACAAAACAGGATTTTGATCACATCTCAGGGATTCACCGTACATTGTGCACATCAACAAACATTCACAATTTAAAAGTCATTCATACTCAGATAATTTCAAACCAAAGAGAAATAAAAAAAAAATATTAAAAAAAGAACTTTATATAAGGTGCGCTCATTAACTGAACCATGCATACATATTAAAGTGAGAACTAATATAACTTTCTGACAAGATTTATTTATCATTTTTATGTTTATTTCTTTTGTAGTATCAGAATAATAGACGAATAAGTGAAAAAAAAATCAAGAATATGAAGCAACAGCTAAGATGTGGTACAGCATCGAAAGGTACTTACGACTGAAAATGTACATTCAAAAATTGGTACTAAATGAAGCATCTAAACTTACGACTGAGGCATGCTGCATGTAGAAACTCATATTCACAAATAATGTTATTGTCAATTCGAACCAAGCACACAACCATTGCCAAAACAATGCTCAAATGCTTCTGCATATATCAAATACTCCAACGGCCCACACATGGGCCCCTTAAAAAGGTTATCAGCAAGGAGAAACCTCCCCTTGGGACATCCAGAAAAATTGGAGCAACACATAGAAGAAAGAAGAAATAGATATTCTAGTACATTCTCAGTAATGGGCAAATCGTGAGTTGAATAATATGAATATGGTACAATCTAAAAATTCACTATATAGTTATTAACTAATTTCAGAAATGCTATTAAGGCTTATACCAAACTATATTTATAGATATACTGTCTACGCTTGAACTTCAGAAAAAGCAGAGATACTTTCAATTGACAGTCTCTTAGGAGCTGCATCTGCCTTCTAAAGATCATATATACCAAAAGAACCTCCCAACATCAACACATACAAAATTTGAATTTAGGGTCCAATGTGACCGAGGAAAATACAAGTTTAAAAATTCTCCTAATGCTCTAATTTGATCACACCAAAGATTACAATATTTTTTGAATATTACAAGCTGCAGTGCTTATCCAAGGATCAAGTACACTAATAGCAATTTTCAGTCACAGAAGCATGAAAAGTATAATTCCGATCAAATTTAGGATGGAAATTTGAATAGGATAGAAATGCCTTTGCCATCAACTTTGAACAATATTAAGAAACAGCTAACAATGCATGGTTCAAATGATACTAGAAGATTAATGATGTCATGGAGCAAGTTAGCAATTTCTTTAAACTCCATGGTGTCTTCACTTCTCTAGTTTAGGAAAGGATTCCAAAAAGATGAATTAAGGCAATTAAGGCAACTATAAGTAGTTACTTGAATAAACTAAGGAGCACAGGCTTCTTCAGCCATCTATTATACCAAAAAATACAGAGATCTTCCACATTTATCCATGCAACAAGTACAGACAGTGTGCACACCAAATACATGTATGGACAGTATATGTGTACATTCACATTTTTTACTGCATTTGTTGCACTACCATTGCTTCCACATCATTAAGGATGTTTCTTGAAAGTTTTTTTCTTTTTTTTTTCTTATTGTTTCCTTTTATCAGTACAAAGAGATCAGTCCATTAGTTTACCTGAACAAGAGCTGTAACCGTCACCCTTAAACTGCACACCATCAACCAGCGGGCACTCACACACTCTACCACGAAATGTATCCTGAGTGTAAAAGTATAGCTGTTAAGAAAATAAATAATTAAATACATATAAATCCAGCCAGTTATGCCAAGTACCTTGCAGGCAGTGATGTTGGCTGTTTTATCTTGCCAACAACCACCATTATTATCCAAGCACTCATTTGTCTCCATATCTGGAGTATAAAAAAATACCCACTCAAGCGTCAGGACCAATGCCATATGTAAGCACACTGTCCATGAGAATTGAAATTCAACATTTAGTGCAACTGAGAAAATGAACTTACCACCATTCAAACAAACAGCTGGCTCAGTAGTTTCCTCAAAACCAGAACAAATGGCCTTCAGAACTGCACTTTTCTCCAACTTGCCTGGGAGCACAAATATTAGTAAGGAAACACTCCGATTTGTCTGAAAATACACAAGTACAGAGACGGACCTCGGTACTGTCGATTATTGACAACAAGGGTAGGCAATATGGTTACATCACCTCGTGATCCTTTCCCAATCTACAGAAAATATAATTGTCAAATAGTTTACATCAACAAAATGGGCACCACCAATTCCAAGGGTTGCTTAAAGGGCGATGTTGATAAAAACAGTTCAACAAAATTTAAGTGTGGCAAACATACTTGAGCATCTTGCTCTTCTTTCAAAATAGGATTGTCAGAATCAGCATTCGGGTCTCCCATACATTTTTCAATCTTTTTCAAATCAAGACCTGTGCAGAAGCAACATTAACACCAGGTAAATAACACCAGATCCTTTATCAACTATGAGTATTATAATTCATTACAGGAATGCAGTGACAAATCATTACCTAGAGATCTAATAACACTGTCAGCACATTCTTTGTTGTATTTATTCTCCTTCATGGGACATCTAAGTTGAAAATCCGTTACGTAATCCCACCAGACCCATGGCTTTTTGGACTCATTAGCTATTCTAAACACACACAGCTGTCTTAAGTTTTCAAGAACTACATTTTTTCCTTCGTAACCTTTGTTGAAATCCTGTTCAGGATCAGGAGCACAATATCTACCATGGTTGATACATTGGGATTTGCATTGTTTGCTCACTGTGAAAGCTTGAGGACAATACCAAGTTATATAATGTGGTGTAAACAGAGTATAACCACTTTTCTCGAGAATCTGAGCTGCACCTTTAAAATCATTTACAAACTCCTTCATCATATCACATTTAATCCCACACTCATCATTGGTGTTGGTCCATAACTCATACTCCACACGATCGTCTGGGTGTGGAACAGCTTCTCTCCAATCTAGATTCACATTTACCATATCCCCACCACTGATTGCTTTCTTAAGGTTTTCACCGAAACCTTTCTCAATTAGTGCAGATGGTATAGTTATGTTCTCAATATACTTTGCAGATGAACGATCCTCTTCTGGCGAGTCCATGGTTATCAATGCTTCTTCAATGTCATCTGCTACAAGAACAGCAGATGCACCAGCCTTTTGGGCATTCCACACCTTCAATGCAAAAAAACAATCTGGAAAGAAAATGAATGAATCACCAAAATTTTCAATATTGAGAAAAAAAAGTTGCTGATCAAAATTATAAATTCCTCCCTCCACATAAGAGAAAAGAAGATACTGCATAGGAAAGATGTAATCTGCAAGAAATGTCACATTTTGAGATACAGAGAAGAAGCATCCCAATTCATCAAGTTTAAAGCTAAACAAGACTATGTTTATTTCCTTGAGAAATCAAACATGTGAGTGAAAAAAATAATGGCAAAATATCAAGTCCAGCAGCCAGCAAAAATGTGTTTCTCAGCAATCAATTGGATGGTGTGGCTATATGGGTGGAGTGAACCTCCATTTGTGACCCACTTATCCTCCCCTCCACCTATGCATGATCCTCTTACCTAAAAAAAAGGCACATTTTGTACTTCTCAATTCTTCAGAATGAAAAATTTCCCGGATAATAGTTCTACATCGGTAGGACAAAAGTCCAGACTCTCGCTACCAAAAAGTGTACAACGGCAATCAACCAAACAATCCATTAAAACAAAAAATATCAAAGAAGGGTATAAAATCAGCTAAAAAAAATGGGAAAATGAAAAAAAAAGGTTCCTACACAATTATCCAAATAAATTAATTTAAATATCAACCTACACAGGAAAACCAATTACTCTGAGGAAATAATTTAACTGAATACCATAAAGAACAAAGCAAAAAAATGATAATTTGATGAACAAAAAAAGCAGACCTCCAAAATCATCAATTAAACTCAGAAAGTGCAACAAACAGCTACTCTAACAAAAGTTAAGAAAAAGAGTACCCCCAAAACACAAATTAGCCTCACAGTGCACATTACAGGTCCTCCAACAAAATTAACGGGAACCTCGAAAATCAAAAATTGGCCTTAAAATGAAAAATGAAAAAAGAACAGCTAGTTCAGCCAAGATTAATAGGAGAAGAACCTCAAAAATTACCAACACCCTCAGAAGAGCAAAACAAATCTAGTTAGATCAAAATTAACAAAAAAGAACATTCAATATCACCAATTAACCTCTGAAAGAGCCAACATAATCAAATTAAGCTCAAAACTTAACAATAAACCGAGAAAGCAAGCAAATTTATCAAATTCACAAAAGGGTACCTACCTCCACGATCAACCAAAACAAAAGTAGGCAAAGCCCCAGGCTTGGAATTGAAAGAAATCCCAAATTCATCGAAACCTCTACAACCCTTTCGGTTCTCTTTCGGGTACACCACAGTCCCGGCCATACTGCCTCCGTACTGAGGTATCCCAAAGTTGCCAATCGCGCTGTCGTGATTACCCTTTATACTATCCGGTGACGTCACCGTCAAGCTGTTCTTCTCCACCACGAACCGACCCATTGCTGATTGGTACAAACTCAGTAACAGAAACCCTAGAAAGATTGAAACACTTGAACTTTGACGCCCCATTTTCTAGAAATTGTAGACACAGAAAGAGCGGATGTGTTTGCTTCGAGAGAGAGTACAGAGAGATTACTAGTTCAGCGTGCAGGGTAAGGTATGAGATCTGATCCTGAGAAATTAATTATAGACTGAGATAAATTAAAATGGGTCTGCCTCTCTCTCTCTCTCTCTCTCTCTCTCTCTCTCAGGCCTTTCAACAGCAGTGGAATTAAGCATCAGTTCTTCAACCGTATCAAAAATATAATAAAATAAAAAGAAGAATAATACTAAAAAATTAAACATTGATTTTATAATATTTATATTTTAAATAATAATATTTTTAATTATATAATTTAAACTTAAATTAAATATATTAAAATAGATGCAGCCATATTATATAGATAATATTAAAAAATAAAATTTTCAGTACAGAGCTCTTAGTTTATTATATTTTCAAAAACATCCCTTAATTATTCAAAATATTATTTACATCATTTACCGTTAAACCATTATTTCTAACCAAATTAAAAAAAAAAAAGCATCTAAAATATCAAAATTATGCCTACATGAAATTCAAACTGGTTAAAATTTATAATTCGAGCTCATTAAAATTTATTTTTTTACATATTAAAATTTGAGTTGATTAAAAATTGATTCAAATTGATTAAGTTTTATTTTTTAACGTATTAAAATTTGAGTCGATATAAACTCAAATTTAAGTCGATTAAAATTTAAGTTGATTAAAATTTATATTTTTAACGTATCAAAACTTAGACTGATTAAAATTTAATGTGAATTGATTAAAATTTCATGGGATAATTTAGTAAAATTGTATTCTAGTTATGACCTTTAATCTGTTAGGGGTGTGAGTAAAATTTTAAAAAATAAAAGAGGTGTTCTTAAAAATATGATAAATTAGAAGAGATATGACTAAAATTTTTCTATTTAAAAAAATGAAAAAAAATGCGTTTTTTATTCAACTTAAATAAGTTGTGAACGTGACTAGTAGGATAAGGAGCGGTCCCTTTAGGAAACCTTGACAATGTCGGCCAGTAATTTGGAAACTAGTACTTACCAAAAAAAAAAAAAAATTGGAAACAAGTCGGGGCAAATGTTCAAAACGAGCATTTCCAACTCTTATTTGGTTGGATTTAAGAGACAATTAATCGAAATAAGTGTAAATTAGTCTCAACTTTTTTACATTATCACTTAAGAAAATAGATTTAAAAAAAAAAAACAATACTAAATTGGGCTTATACCTTACCCATTGGGAAGTTTTAATGATCGAATCAAACCCATTGGGCTTATCAACATAACTTTTCACATGTTACACGTTTATATTTATCCTCAATATTTTTGTTGTTTTGCACTTTTTTCCATGGACCACATGTCCAAATTTTAGAAGTACAAGCGCTAACAAATGAGTGTTGTCATTAAGGAATTTGAAAAAAAAAAATAGATGTATAATCTTAGGTCGGAGATCTGTAAATTTGAATCGTGAATTTAAAATTTGACAATTCTCTTGAGATCAGACCATTAAAATTTATCACTTGGATCGTGCTGGGTGAGATATGTCAACTTATTTATCGCATCGCATGTTTAAGTAAAATTAATATAATAATAAATTAATAATTATATTTGAATTTATTTGTCAAAATATTTTTTATTCAGTTTAATAATTAGACTAGTTAAATTTAGTTTTTTACTGAGTTCATTCTTATAGTTTAAAATATTTTTCTAATGTGAGTTGACATCACTAAATGTCATATTTTTTTGTTAGTTTGTTAATTAATTACTAGGAATGTTTATTAATTAGTTGTCTATAATTTTTAATGTCAAACGGGTGCGCGGTTAACAGAGTTATAGATCGGCCATTCCATTTGTGTTTTCAGCAAGTATGTGACGCGAATCTATGTTTTTTATGTTTCAATAAGATATCAATTGCTTGGATGCCTTTGAAAGTCTCGGATGACTTGCAGCAAGAATTTTTTCCAAGTTTGTCGACTTGTGTTTATGTAACAAATGGTTTATTTATTGATGGGCGAACAATGGGGATTGAACCTGCACGCGATGGATTCACAATCCATTGCATGTTAACTCAACTATACCCAACATGATCGATTATTTAAACACGTTAAACGAGTCGTATCGTATAACTCATTTAACAAGTAAGTTGTGTTATATTTTATTTATAGATTTTCACCCATTCAATTAATACAATTTGTGTACGAGTTTAACACTTTTTTTCACACAAATTCATTAATACCCAACACAACCTACTTAATTCGACACGGTTGATAGGTCTAGTTTTAGTATGGATGACCTACTTTTGACCAGACTGAAAAAAAGATTAGTCATGATCCACGTAAATTTACTCGGACACCCCGACTATAATACCAGAAAAAAATAGATGTATGTAATCTTATTCCATAATAAGGGGATTGGGTTTTTGGCAAGTCCGAACAGTATGCCCAGATCTCGAGATCTTTTTACTTATTGTAACAATGATCAAAACTTAGAATATGGAATAAATTAAACTACACAAAACTGCAATTATATAACATACACATATGGAAAATACTAATTCGACTTAATTCAATATAGTCATTAGATAGAAAGTGAGAATTCTGATCTCTTTCAATATATTTTTCTTTTAATTTTTTTTCTGGCACATCATCTATCATCCATCATTAATAAAATGAATGAGGAATTCATTATTGATGAGTGAGAAACCTATTTGTATACAGTGAGTCTCACCTGAATAGATGGTAAATGATGTGTCAAGAATGAAATTTATAATATAAACACAAGACAGACTTCAATAAATTCATGTGACAGTCTTAAATAGACTCATCCAATAACCATCAACATCTATTTCAAAATCATTCACATTATACCGTAACTTCAAGTATGTATTACCCTTAGTTGAAGAAAAAGTGTATTGGAAAAAATTTTACTGTTAAAAGTGAACTTAATCTAATATTAAAGCTCACAACTAATTTAATATAAATGTATTAAATTATATACTTGATTAAATTCTCCAAATTAAATCCCCTGTTGGTTTATCCATGAACCATGAGATGTAATCAGTACCCTTATCGGTGGATGGTCTCTTTGGATAATACTCGTTAAATCCAAAAATAATTGCCTACTTATTCATCTACTGCATTGAATGCACCTGTGGCCATTATATATTGGGGGAACAGAGCGTTAATTTTTTTTTATTTTTTTTATTTTTAGATAGTTACAAGTCTTAGGAAACACCATTTTCTTATCCATAAAGAGAGCAAGTATGTGTTATATAAGCACCAAGACCCCCCCCCCCCCACCCCACTCCCGGTGGGCCCCCTCTTTTTTTTTTTTTTTTGGGTGTTATTGTGTCTTATCCCTCCATTACTTTTCCGAAACAATTTTGTTTTTCCGCCCGCTTTTACGTGTATCTCAATCAATTATATCTTCAGTCTGATTAAAGATAGTCACCTATGCTAAAATTAGAGTATTCATAAAAAATAATTACTTAATAGTCTAAACCTAAGAAATTTTCAAGATTCGAGATAACGTAATATTTTAGGGCTCTTATTACAGTTGAATTTATTACAAAAATACAGTTATTTTGAAATTTTAATATCAAAATATGATACTTTTAAACTTATTTATCAAACTACGATACTTTTTAAAAGTGAATTTAATAATTTCGTTTTTGTTAAAAAGTAGGATAACAACTCAGTTTTTGTTAAAAAATAGATTCAACAACCCGCTTTTAACGGAAAGCAAATTTTGTACAATAAGAAATGCGTGTTTTGTAAACACATTTTGTACGTTTTTTGTGAAAAGCACGTTATTAAACACGCTTTTCATAGTCATTCACCTGACATATTCTTTCGCCCGAGACCCTTTCACTCTTTTACACTCTTTCAACTGGCAGATTCTCTCTTACAAGAAAGAAAATTTTGATTTTTGTCAAGTTATAGCAAAGATTATATGACCATATTCATTCAAAAAAAAAAAAAAAATCTCCTTTTATTTTTGGAAGTTTAATGGGATGAGAAATGTGTGGAAAGACGGCAAAGTTGTTTCTTGGGGGAGTGGATCCCAGGTCCCTTGTATAAGATTTGATAAATACGTAACTCTCAACGCAGATTCAGTTGTTGGATCATCTCAAGGTTGATGAACAGTATCAGAAAAAAGAAAGAAGAGGCAAGAGGGTTTTCTGGGTAAACCCATTTGTGGGGGTGCTGAAAGTGCACTGCTCACACAGATTCCTGGTTTCCATGGTACTCTTCCTTCCAAGCAGTATGCTGGGTAAGTGTCCTTGACAATATTTGTGTGTTGTAATATTTTTTTGAAATTGTTTATTTGATGGGTTATCATGCTAACATTTTTATTCAAATGGATTTATAATGTATGGGTATGTGACAATTGATGAAAGTCATGGGAAGAAATTGTATTACTACTTTGTTGTTTCTGAAAGAAATCCAACAGAGGATCCAGTAGTTCTGTGGCTCAATGGTGGACCAGGATGCTCGAGCTTGGATGGGTTTGTCTATGAACACGGTATTGATTTGGTTCTTTAAATAATAAGCTTAAAAGCGTGGTTAGTAACCACACTTTTCAACTCATTATTTTTTTATTTAAAACGGGATCACTGATCCCGCTTTTGTTAAAAAACGGGATTGTTAAATACGTTTTTTAATAAAAGCGAAATTATTGATTTCGCTTTTAAAAAATGTCGTAGTTTGGTAAATAAGTTTAAAAATATCGTATTTTGGTATTAAAATTTCAAAATAACTGTATTGTGGTAATAAATTCTATTACGGTTATGGTATTAAGGGATGAGATTAGTGAAGGAATATGATTTAGGGTGGACATACTTTAACTATAAATTTTACTTTGTCCTCTAATAGATAAAAATAATGTGATATATTTATATTTTTTTACATCATAATTGATGTTTAAAAATTTATTAAACATAAAAGACCTAAGGCCCATATATATATTTTATATAAACAAAAAATAACTAAAATCATTAACCTAACTTAGACAAGAATAGCATTATAAATCACATTGTACTATCTAATCAAACAGATTTTGAAGAAAAATGAAGGAATATACTAATTTTAATAAAAGGATTAGACTTGGGGTCAGTTTTCTGAAATAATAAAAAATGACCAATAACTGTCTACTAATAAGTAAAAAAAACAGCAAGTGGATCCCACTAAAACAAATAACCACTTAGTTATGTAATAAATAACAATTTTCATAATACGAAGTGTGCCCTACATTTTCTTATTGGATGATTATACAAAATATTTACTCCTAATTGATAGCTTAACAAACCAAAAAATTATGATGTGTCTAACTTCTTTGACTTAATTAATTTTGTTTTATCTAATTCATTAGGGTGGATCCAATTAAAATTATCCAAAAAATATATAAAACACATATAAAAAAATTATTTTTTTCAGAGTGGCCTAAGCCTATCCTGGCTTTAGGGTGCAACTTGAACAAGTCAATCCGAATTCAACCCAAGCTCAACCCAAAAATATGACTTGGACCAGGGATTTTAATATTTGGATTGAGCTTGGGTCGAAAAACGCCAACCCGAATTAAATTCGGGCAGTGTTTTGGTTGAGTACTTGGATTACCGGGCTCAACCCCAACCCGATTTATATATATATGAAGCATAATAATTAGGGTTCATCATTTTTTTCTTTTCAAGTAGTGTTACATGAACTTAAAAGTAGATTTAATAATCACAACCATTGAATAGGTAATGAGACTCAATAAATGTTGGGACCAATAAAAAAATCAATGGTTGTAATTATCAAGTTTACTTTTTAAGTTTAATTTTTAAATTCATGTAATATTGCTCTTATTTTTCAGCGCCTCCCTTAGTCCCTCGTTCAATCTCCCTCACTCTCTAGCTCAGCCTCTCGCTTAATCTCTCTCATTCTCTCACTCATTCCTCCGCCATTTTCTTAGTCTCTCACTTCCTCTATCACTCTCAACCTCTCTGCTTTGTGACTACTATTGATCGGTTGTTGTTGCTGTTGATTTGTGCCATTCTGTCTGCTTTTCTGTTGTTGATCTGCGTTGGAAATTAGGGCTATGTTGATCGGGTTTGAGAAGTTAAAAACAAAGCATACTGATTTGCTTTGAGAAATTGGGGGTTCGCCTTCAACTATTTCTCTTTCTCGGACTGAAAATGGGATCAATATATATATATATATATATATATATATATATATACACACACACACACACACAAGTATATTTGTATGTATGTATGACTATATGAGATTAAAATTAATTTTGTTGTTAGAAAAAACCGTTTGGTTTGTCTTTTTTCAATTGGTTAATTTTGAAGTTTATACAGAAGGTCCGTGGGTTAATAAAATGAATCTTGTTACTCAAAAAAAAAAAATGAAATGAATCTTATTACTGTGGGTTGTGATTACTTATTGAAGTTTCATCTTATTTGGTTGACGTAAAAACCTTAACCAAAATTCAACTCGAATTTTAACCTAAAATTAATCTAAATTAAGTAACTCAAATTTAACCCGAGCCCATTTGAATTCAGCTTGAGTAGTACTCGAGTTGAGGTCGGGTTAAGATTAGTATTAGGATTGAAAATTATATATCTAGAGTTGGACTAGGGTTGACTCCTCAACCTGTTCAACCCGCCTGAGTTGCATCCTTACCCTAGCTCTTACCTCCCTCTGCCACCGGATGAGATTAAAACTATACTAGTCCAACAATCACTAAGGATATATTTGGATCGCAAGTTAAAGGAGAATAACTCTGGTAGGATAGTATAAAAAAGTATGTGGAATCTATATATTCCACGTTTAGTAAGTAAAAAATGCATCAAAAATCTTATTCAAATTTTATCCCAACTCGATTTGAAACATTAAATTTAACCAATCGACATGGGTTAAATAAAATCCAAGGGGGACTCGGATTTTTTGGTTAAACAGGATAACTAATTCAAATAACTGAATTATCCTGTTCTCTTCCCCCTTCCCCCCCGGTTCTCTCTTCATCTCCTCTTCTTGTTTTTTCATAGATCTGATTTTTTTTCCAACAAATTTGTTTTATCAAAGTAAAGCCTCAGTGACATACCCCAAGAAGACCAAGATGTCTTCTCCAACAAGATAACTAGTTTAAATAATAAACTAACTATAATAAAAAAAAAATCCTATTTGGACTAAATTATTAATTCTCAATAGTACTCGTAACATATGAACACCCGTCTAAAAAATATGAAATTATAATATTTTTAAAAATTAAGAAATTTTTTTTTTGGAATCAGCAAAAGACTGATTATAAATCAAACGTATTGAATTGGATAGGTTAGAGACAAAATAGTCAATGAAACCATATTTTATCACCCTTCTCTATGGGTCCCACATAATTACTTATATGTTATCCAAACACTAGAAATGAAAAGACAGTCATCAAATCCTAAAAAGTCCAACGATAGATGAGTTTGTGTTGAATAGAAAAGAGTATTTTCTTAGATCTCTGATCAAGTCCAACTCTACCATCTAAACACACCCTAAGAGTAATGTTATGCTAGCTACCCAGCTTGTATTCTAAAAACTTATTTCAAATGTAATGTTATGCTAGCTACCCAGCTTGTATTCTAAAAAACTTATTTCAAATGATTTGGCACCTTCACGCATCACACTGTGGGTCCCAATAAATTAGTTTTTTCTTAAAATATAAGGTGTGCGAAAGTGTCAACTCATTTGTCCTGAATTTTTTAGGATACAATTTGGGTAGTATAGCATTACTTCGATCACTAAATAATAAGATTAGTTTAAATTATAATGTTCGGTTCTAATGACATTGTTAATATCAATCCAATGCTAAAATATCATCTAACATCCCACATCAATATAAACCAATACCATGAAATAGAATGCGACATGATTAGTATTAGTATCCAAAATAACAAGAATGTCCTTCTGAGTTAGAGATTTTTGCGTTGATGTAGGGTGTTTTTGCCTTTTTCAACTTAATACCACACATTAATCCTCATCCAAATATGACTTTAATATTACAACAATGGATCTACTCCTTATCCAAATCTTGATCTAATATAATAGAGATAGGATAACATGGTCCATGGATTGGCTATGTATAATGACACAACATACACATTTTTTTTTTTATTTTATGCCTTCAAACACAAGCAATTAATAATAATCTTCTATTTGATCTATCGTTTCACTTATTTTTCAATCGAGTAATTCATCGTTTTACTTGGTTATCATCTATTTTATTCCAAATCCCTTCATTTTAATACATTAATCCAAAACGTAACGTAAGAAGGTCTCTTCTATGATGCAAGTGTGACCTGACAATTTCTTCCATTGGGTTTGAGATTCCTTAGAGCAATATTCCATGAGTGAGTAGTGGAGGATCCACCATATTAGATCAGTTTAAGTGAATCCTTTAAAGTAACTCCGATTCAAACGTAAATGTGCAGTAGAAGAACAACTTACAGAAATTAAGACAGCTTTGACTGGATAAAACGAGATTATAGCATCAGTAGGTAGTTAATAACCCCTTGAGAGAGACCATGCATGAGAGTCTCCTTGTAGACTGTCCGGTTTGATCCATAACTATTAATTCAAAATGACAGTCCGTCATCATAAAACCATAGTCCATCCCCTTGCTTGATAACCACATGAAAGTCAAGAACGACATTAAATACATACAATTTACCACTAAACTATGGATTGGGATAGTATTAAAAAAGCAACCAAGCAAATGTAGAGCCCAAATATGTATTTTCTTAGTGGAGTACTCCCTAATGCATTCATGTGTGACATAGTTGCCTTAGCGACCTTCCTTAGCGTGCTGTGTTTGCATTTTCTTCCAAGGCACCCTCTCATCTGTGTGTGTACGTGAAAGAGAGAGTGAGAGAGAGAGTCCATGGCTTGCTTGAGCCGAATTCTGTTGCTTTACAACAATAACCTTGTTGCTTGGTAAGTGGGATTTACAGTAGACTCACATAATGTTAAAAATGTCTGTGTAGAATCCTAATAGGGGACCTAAGTAACTATAATAATGGACCAGATCGAGTAGAAATATAAATTCATAGTGAAGTGAATAATTGAAATTAAGACATTAAGTTTTTTTTTTGATTCAATAGTTGGGGGTGCTCGGGTCAATTTACGTTCACCTTAACTACTCTCCTTTCCGGTCCAATCAAAGAAAGACTATCCACGTCTAGATTACGCCTGGATTAAGGTATTCACGAGGGATAAAACTCTCGTGGCCTGTCAAAAAATATTAAGTTTTTCTCCCCAAAAAAAAAAAAGTTAACTTCTTGCTATTACTAAAAGTTGAAAGGGTTGATGGAATTTAAGGCTCACCCTCTGCTATAAATTGAGAGGTAGTCCTTGTAATCACCTGTCCCTATACAGTAAAAAATAGTTAAGAGAAAAGAACTAGGGAGAGCTATGAAAAAACATCTTCCCTCCCCTCTGGTGTTCATACTACTCCTTCTAATCCCTCGTGACACTCATCAATATGCCTGCGACGAGACCAACCCAAGCACCAGCGACAACCCCTTCTGTAACACATCTTTACCTTATGCAGACCGAGCCAAAGACCTCGTGTCACGCCTCACCCTCCAAGAAAAGGTGCAACAGCTAGTTAATGGTGCCAGAGGCATTTCCAGGCTAGGCGTGCCCGCCTATGAATGGTGGTCCGAGGCACTGCATGGAGTGTCAAACACTGGGCCTGGAGTACATTTTAATGCAACAGTGCCCGGAGCGACCAGTTTTCCAGCAGTCATTCTTTCGGCTGCCAGTTTTAATGCTTCTTTATGGCTCGAGCTGGGACGGGTGGTGTCAACCGAGGCTCGAGCCATGTACAATGGTGGTCTTGCTGGCTTGACATTTTGGAGTCCAAATGTGAATGTGTTTAGGGACCCCAGATGGGGGAGGGGTCAGGAGACCCCTGGAGAGGACCCTCTGGTGGTTTCAACATATGCTGTGAACTATGTCAAAGGTTTGCAAGAGATTGGTGATGAGCAGGGGAACTCTAGTAGTACTGATCAGAGGCTCAAGGTTGCAAGTTGTTGTAAGCACTATACTGCTTATGATATTGATAACTGGAAAGGTGTTGATCGATTTCACTTTGATGCACAGGTAAGCTTGAGAATTTCATAATTAAATATAATTTTTGTAAGACAATACAAATGTCACCCAATTCCGAGATAACTTAAGTGGTACGAGGGATCAGCGAAAAATTTAAACGTCTTAAATTTGAATCTTGGGCCAAGTAATGAGGGATTTACCTCTCATAAATATCATAGTCTTGGCGTAGATAACCTATTTTTGATTGGACCGGGGAGATTAATCGAGGTGTGCATAAATTCACCCGGACATCCCTGACCGTTGAAAAAAAAAAAAAAACAAATCTCACCCGATCCGCTAACATGTTTATTAAACAAAAATGATTAGTGCCAAATATGAATAACACTATTTTGACACCATAAACCTGCTTAACAAGTATTGTATGGGAAGTATTTAATTTTTTTATTTATTTATCTGATATTATATGAATCCTTATAAAATTAGTGAATTTTTTTTTGTGTTTTGCTAGTATGTGGACAAACAAGAAGTTTAGTTTATGGGTACCTATGGGTGGTGGGTTCAGTTGAGAGAGAGAAATTCTAATGTCGGATTTTTCGTCTAGGGGTGATGCAAGTCTAATTCGTACTGGTTAGAGTTAGTGTCAGGTTATATGACATGATTAACTAACTAGATGAGTAAGTTTAAAATAGACTAATACAGAACACGATCACAATTCACAACATTTTACAACGGTACATTACTCAATTTTCACCAATAATGACAATTGGTGGAAATTGTTGGGTTATTTTAGGTAACACCACAGGATATGGAGGATACTTTTCAGCCACCATTCAAGAGCTGTGTAGAGGAGGGGCATGTCAGCAGTGTGATGTGTTCATACAACAGGGTGAATGGAATTCCCACCTGTGCTGACCCGGATTTGCTCAAAGGGACAATCAGAGGCCAGTGGGGTCTAGATGGGTTTGTTTCTCTCCCTTAAATTCAAGCTTCTATGCCTATTTTGGATTGCTTCCCTCCTGTAATTGTTCCCACTAGGCTTGTCATATGTGTCGAGTGGGACAGTGTTGTGTCAGATCTTAATGGATTCGTATAAAAAAATATTATATCCATTCTCAATTCGTTTATTAATTCGTTTCTAACGAGCTGTGTCATATCGGATTCGTGCAGTGTATGAACTGTGTATAACGATATATACACAAATCGTGTCGTGTATTTTTTTGATTGGCTTCACCCATACCTGATTCGTTTATTAATCGTCTCGTGTCGAGTTTACTTATTTACGAAATAGGTAACTTAAAAGAGAACCAAACCCTCTAATTTTGTGTTGTATTCGTGTCGTGTTAATAAATCGTGTCATATATTGACACCCTAGTTCCCACACCGTGGTTTTGATTGGCAGTGCTTTGTTTTCTTATGTAAATGCTTTATCCTTCTGATGTTAGGTGCCCAAAAAGAACCATGTGGTAGGAAGTGTAGCATCCCCTGTTATGTAGAGTGATATGTCAATGATTCAGTTAATGGAGATGTCGTAGTATTGGTTAGAGATTCAAGTTATAAAACGATGTGGCAGAATAGTATTTGGGCATATGTTGAGAGCCGATGGCGATGACTTGGCCAAGTCGATTGAGATGTGACCGAGTCACACACGAGTCTGGTAAGAATTATGGATTTATAGAACGTGGAATGATATCCGAAAGAAAGGTCGATCGAATACAACTCAAGTACCGAGTTGTATCATATTCGGTCGATTCTTTGCATCATGATGACGTTTAGGAATTAAGCAAACTAATAATTACTTGGTGGACATGCTTATATTTTCTGCCTTGCCACAGGTACATTGTTTCTGATTGTGACTCCATTGAGGTTTACTACGACTCTATACATTACACTGCCACACCTGAGGATGCTGTAGCCCTTGCCTTAAAAGCAGGTAATCTTTAATTAGCTTGAACAGTTTCAAAGCCATCATAAGGTTAAAATTTTCCAATAATCATGCAGGTTTGAACATGAATTGTGGGGATTTTCTTAGCAAATACACAGAAAATGCAGTAAACTTGCAGAAAGTTGATGAGTCGATTGTAGATCAGGCACTGTTATACAACTACATAGTACTAATGAGACTAGGATTCTTTGATGGAGACCCAAAAATGCTCCCATTCGGAAAACTTGGCCCGTCCGATGTATGCACCGATGATCATCAACTGTTGGCAGTTGAAGCAGCAAAACAAGGAATAGTTTTGCTAGACAACAATGGTGTCCTTCCTCTGTCTCCTAACAGTACAAAAAATTTAGCCATTATTGGACCAAATGGTAATGCCACTGAAGCTATGCTGAGCATCTATGCTGGCGTGCCTTGCCAATACACCACCCCTTTACAAGGCTTGCAAAAGTATGTCTCGACGGTCACATATGAGCCGGGGTGTGTCAGTGTTGGCTGCGCTGATGGTAGCAGAATTGAGGCGGCAGCTAAGGTGGCTGCGGCCGCTGATGCGGTGGTGGTGGTGGTGGGGCTTGATCAATCAATTGAGAGAGAGAGTTTGGATAGGGTGAACTTGACATTGCCTGGATTTCAAGAGGAGCTTGTGATGGAAGTGGCTAATGCTACTAATAAATCTGTGGTGCTAGTTGTTATGTCAGCTAGTCCAATTGACATTTCATTTGCCAAGAACAATAGCAACATTGGGGCAATTTTGTGGGTTGGCTATCCTGGCCAAGCTGGAGGGGATGCCATAGCTCAAGTTTTATTTGGAGACTACAATCCAGGTTCTCTCTCTCTCTCTCTCTCTCTCTCTCACACCATGCTTTTTTTTTTATTCAATGGTCCGAAGAGTGTTCAGATCAACTTATGTGCACCTCTACTAATTCCTTTCCCATTCTGATCAAAGACAGGTCATCCATGTCGGGACTAAGATATTCATGAGAGATAAATCTTTTATAACCTGACCCCAATAAATTGTCAAGATTCAAATTTTGAATGTCCATTGGATTTTACACACATCGTGTCCTTGCACATTTCATGTAACATTCAGGAGCACTAGTGTTACTTTTTGTAATGACCCGAACTTACGTGTACAATATTTGTATGCTTTGAACCAAATTCGAATGATTTTAAAATGTATTGTATAATCAAAGTCTAAACCTTAAACCCATCTAGCTTCGTCTTCCTTTGATGCATAGTCATTATGATGCCACAATCCACTGGTAGATTGATAAATTACATGTGATAACAGGTGGGAGGTCCCCTTTTACTTGGTACCCACAAGAATACGCAGATCAAGTCTCAATGACAGACATGAACATGAGAGCCAACGCCACTCGGAACTTCCCAGGACGAACCTATCGATTCTACACTGGAAAATCAATCTATGAGTTTGGCCATGGTTTAAGTTACTCAACATTTTCAAAATTCATAATATCTGCCCCTTCCACCATACTCATAAAGCCAATCACCACCACCACCCATCAGCCACCAAACACTCTCACTTCCACCACCACCAACGGCCAGGCCATCAATATCTCGACGATAAACTGCCAGAATTTACAGTTCCAAGTTAATGTCGGAGTGAAGAACCATGGGGAAATCGATGGACCACACGTCGTGCTGGTGTTTTGGAAGCCGGCAAGCTCGCAAGGAGTGACCGGAATACCAAATGTGCAGCTGGTGGGGTTTGAGAGGGTGGTGGTGAAGAGAGAGAAGACGGAGATGGTGACGGTGGAGTTGGATGTTTGCAAGGATTTGAGCGTTGCTGATGGAGATGGGAAGAGGAAGTTGATAACTGGGCAGCATGCACTTGTGATTGGTTCTTCTAGTGAGCGCCAAGTGAAGCACCATTTCAATATTAGGGTTGCAAATAGTGAAGATCAAGGTAGTCTTACATGTATGTAATATCACCATTGGGTTCAAAAAAACAAAGAGGCAGGACTAATGTTTATTTGAGCCATGTTGGTTAGGTAGGCGTAGAAAGAAGAATAACTATTGCTCCATTGTGAGTTTCGATATCACATTATTACTATCACGTAACATCAAAATTCAATAATAAGCTAACAAGTAAATTTCACTGCTTGAGCAATATTACTTTGATCTAATTTATTGATTTAATCATTCATAATCGACAATGAACGTTAGTAGTTATTAAGACCTCTAATTTAATAATTGTGATGGATTAAGACAATAAATTATATTAGAAAATTAGATCGAAATAGCATTATTGTACTAAATTATGTGAGGGTAACATCTTACCTACTTCTAAATTTATTATTGAATGGTGACGGGTAACCAGACAAGTTAAATGTTATCATAAGGCTCAAGGAAAAAAGGCCCCAAACCATACTATAATTCTTGAGAGTTAACATCAAATATGACCAAAAGAATTTAGACTATGAACTATGAAGACCCAATGACATATATGTTCTAGAAAGGGCCAAACTAAAATTATATTATCCCTCTCCTCTTAATAAATATTTTACACTTTTTAGGACTCTCTTTCAACGGTCACAATCTCAAAAATGAACAAGTTTACCTCTCTCTTTCTCTCTCTCATCTACTTTACAAGTAGATATTGGGTATAACGATTTTATCACGTTAGTATTATCGCGTGGTATAATCGTCCAATGTTAACTCACTAAATAGGAAAAATGAATTTTATTCATTCAAATAATCACTCATCTATGTTAGATAAAAACCATTGTGTAAAAAAAACAGGGTCACTTGTACACTTATTTATTTAATATTTAACGATTATATCGTTACATCCAATATTTACTCTTACTTTACATAGTACACAAATAGAAAAAATATAATCCGTCCCAAACTGCGCACAGTTCCTACTGCACACAAACAAAAAAAAAAAAGGTATGCACATATGACACAACTAAAACTACGGATCATTGTGTTACATACATAGGTTTGCTCCCTAATCATCCATTTTCCGTTGGATCAAAAAGGTATTGTATCTTTTTGACAGTTTTATTAATTTTAATTTAATTAATTTTTAATAAGTTTATTATCTATTGTGAAAATTGGAATTACTGGATGATTTGAGAGACAAACAAAGAATTGTGTACAATTTCCTATTTATCGGGTGCTATTGTACTATTGATTTTGTATTAGGAAGTAAAGAAGATTGTTAACTTTGTTCCATTGTTATTAGTTGTTACCTTTGCAAGGATTATTAAGGTTTGAGTATGTCAACTTGAAGATATGATTTTGGATGTGAAAAATGTTAAAAAAGGAAGCGAGAAGTAGATGAGTTATTATTAAAATTGAATGAATTAGTCTTATTATCCATTAAAAATGATATATTAGCGAAATTTGAATGTAAAAACTTAATTACTAAAAGTGTGTTTGATAACATTTTCGTTTTTATGTTTTTTTTGGATAAAAATTAAAAATATAAAACATGTTTGATAGTCATATATATTTAAAAAATTGTGAAAACAAAAATAAAAAATTTGTTTAGTATTATATCAAAAATTTATCACTCAAAACCCACCACCCAACCCCACTAACCATCCAAAACCACCACCAAAAACCATAACCCAACCCCACTCCTGAAAATCCACCCCCAAAATCTACCACCCCAAACCCCAAAATCCACCACCCACCTATATATACAGACAATATACATAGATTTAAGGCTCGAGAAGACAATTGAGAGGGGCGATGACATGTTTTCCCCCATTTTCTGCTTCGTCATGATCTTCATGTGTAAGCATCTTTTCCCCCCTTTTTTGCTTCGTCTTCATCTTTGTCTTTGACAGCGCAAGAGATAGAGAGAGAGACGACTGAGAGGGGGGATGACAATGGCTTCGTCTTTGTCATCGAGAGACAGAGAGAACTGAGAGGGGCGATGTCGATGGGGATGACTTTGTTTCGTCTTCAGTCTTTGGCATCGAGAGAGACAAAGAGAAAGATGGACTTTTATACTCAAAGCAAAAAAATTCATATTTTGTTGATAAGGAGGATCGAAGCCAAGATCTCATTAAATTCCTTTATCAATCGCGCATTTTTTTTTTTGATACTTTCAAAACCTTTCTTTTGAATCTTTTCATATTTTAGCCGTGTTTTTAAAACATAGCAATTAAAAAAAAATAAAAACATTTACCAAACATATTTTTTTTTTACCATAAAATAAAAAAAAACAAAACAAAAACCACCGGTTACCAAACACTACCTAAATTTGCATTACAAAAGGAGAGAAAAATACTTTTTAAGTAAAATGTTAATCATACAACTTATATTTGTAATAAATTCTAAAAAAAACCCTCATTTAAAGCGTTAGCTTAGAGCCTCCATTTACATTGACTCGGCCATATCGACAGTGATACCACATGCCAGGGATAAAGTGTTGACACCATTATATTCAATACTTTCTCCTATGGATGATTTAGCTTGTAGGGAGATAAAAGGAACCTAAAAGCCTTTAAAATATCCCTTATATTGTTAGTTTCATTTAATTAGCCTTTAAAATAAATTTTCAATTGATACTCTCCAACTTTTTAATTTAAATAACACATAATTTTTTATCCAATTTTTTTTAAAAAAAAAATAAGTGGAAAGGGAACATATGCCTCTCACTTAATTAATAAATGGAAATATTTTAGACAACTAACAAAATTTTTAATTATCCAAACACGTGTCTCCGTTTGATTATTCTATTTAGCCCCTTGTTTTAATTATTTTTCTCCTTTTAAATTCCCTCCTCTCCCAACAACCCCAACCAAAACAATTGGACCTATGTAGTAGGGTTAGGTGAAAGGTTCACTTGTTTCCATAGTATCTTAAGATTCATTTATTAGAGACTAAATAGGAGAAAACTAACACAACTCTAATAAGTCGTCAATTCAAAGGAGGAAGAGGGCTTGAGCACTTGAATCTAAAAGTGTGCTAAGTTGGTGAGATCCAACTGTAATGTTTAGCCCGTGATTGCTATCTATATGTCATTCAAACTCTAGATAAGTGACGACTCCATGGACAAATCTTCACGTGATTAAAATTACGAAGCTTCAATGCTAATCTTTGACCCAATTTTTTTTTTTTTAGCTAATCTCACACTTTCTATTTTAGTTTTATTTATAGTGATATTAAGGTTAATTTCATTTGTTTTAGTAAAACAAGGGGCGCCCCGTGCGTCTCATTATAATGTTACCACCCCCTCGTTGTCACCCCAACTCTACTGCTTTTGGAAAGTTATCTACTAGTGTTAAATTAAGAAGAATAAAATAAATTAATTTTTTAGTACTTAATGAGAGAAAGTTTTATAACCACTATCTTTCCTAAATTGATTGTTCTATAGAATGTGACTAAATGTTATTAAGATCTAAAAATTTAACTTAATTTACTGACTTATTAGTGTGATTTTATTATAATTGCTCGATTAACATCAAATTTCATAGTTTAATGAAGCACACGGTCAATCTAATGATTATAACAAATTTTTCATTGTAGCACATCTCTAAAAAAAATGATTATAATAAATTTGGTCAACAAATTAAGTCACAATAACATTGCTCGCAATATGTAATGAATACAAATTTAAATGAGAGAGCGTATGTGTGTGTGAGAGAGCGAGCGGAAACGGAGAGATGATTGGATAGAAACTTAGGACAGTTGATAAATTTTAAAGTTACCTTATTAATAAGAAGTTAATTTATTAAAAAATGGTCAATGGCATAACGGATAGAATTTTGAAACTCATCCAAGCTAATTACATTGCTATATTCATTTCGTGTTTAATCAATTATGTATCGATCCTTTTTTATTTCTCACAACTCTATCGAACTAAAACTAAACCTACAAATTTCGTGTCAATTTTACAAATTGTGTCTTACCCACCAAGTTTAGGTAAAATCCTACCCCTGGTTTTATGTGTATTTCTCGTACTTACTCTATTATGAGAGAAGGACTCTACGCGTAAAGCCGCCCAGTTTAAGGTTTGATTTGGTGATAAAAGCAGTCAATAACGACATACTCAATAGATTCACGCACGACATTTCATAAATGTCTAATAACTCTATTGGACAAAGTCAAATTTGCTGACTTTTGTGTTCCATGGCCATCATTCAAATTTACATAAACAGGCCTCTTTCAATTACAATTGACAAAAATGTATATTTTCTTTTTTACTATGCATCAAACTCTCAAGGTTTATAACATATTTATAAGCATTAGTTATAAAATTCTTCTACCAGAATTCATTCCATTCCGCTATGTTCTGTTGACCGATCCTTTAATTTTTGGGTCTAGTAAATATAAATGATTGAGATTATCAAGTCTACTTTTTAAGTTTATCTAGCATTATTCTTCGCAATATTGTATTTATTAACCAAAGTATCCACTTTTACCACAATAAACCTACTATGATATGAATATTCAAAAGACTAATTAAAAGAATTTAACTGAGATTCATTATATACAGATGGATCCTTATGAATATAAGAAGAGTGATTTATCATTAAAAAAAATTAAGCAAAATTCAAGGATAAGATCTGGATCCAAAGGTGATAGGCATACTAAGAATTTAACATAAGACGTTCGGAATTTATTTTGTGTTCAAAATTTGGGCTTTGTACCATTTTTTTTTATTTAATGGTTAAAGGTGTCTGTAATAATTTACACACACCTCGACTAATCTCCTTTTCAATTCGGTCATTGCATAACTTCGAATCACTTTCAAGTTAGTTACAGGAAACATATTGACCTTACTATATTTTCAAAGGTAATCGAGTTGATATAGTCTAGGAAGGACCTAACAGATTATTAAGCCTAGTGTTTAGTTTGCCTTTTTCCTCTTTAAAGGATATAAATGTCATTGACCATGTTGTTCATCTCTCTATCTCAATCACCATTATTGCTAGTATAAATGCACAGGTGTGACTTTGGGTCACATACCTTACAAACACAAATACTAGCAAAGATCAAAAGAAAACCACAAAGAAGAAAGAGGAAGAAGAAGCAACCATGGAAGGCTTAATCCCATTTCTCTTCCAAGCCCTCAAGAAACCGAGACCTCATAACCG